AAAGATACACAGAGATGGAATGCCAAGGATACCTCTTCAATAATGCAGCTCACTAATGTTCCTAATGCAATATAGTCGTTAGTTGTTAAGCTTAAACAAGGACTCTAATTTATGGGTTATTCGATACCTTGTCTGCTTAGGAAGTGCTTAGTGTTATCTTCCGTATGCATATCTTATTTTGGTGTTTTGGACTCGACATCCCAAGAGGTTTTCAACATATTTAAAATTTTGTTAGATCTTGTTAGATCTACTATTGGACTATTGACCTCCCTTGCCCTTGCCCTTTAGCCAAGAATCCAATTTAGTTAATCCTTTAGTTCCCCCCACAAGTTACACCAAATCCCAATGATCTTTTAGGATTAAAGTCATATTTAAACGCTGCCTTTGTCCGCGCCTCACTTTCCAATATGCTCCTGCCCTCCACCGCCTGTCAGAGCTGCCTCAAAGTCCAATAAACCTAATTAATGTTGCGGCGTTTAAAATAGCTGCAGGAAGAGAGGGCGAGGACGAAGGCCCAGGATAGAAGCTGCAGTTATGTTTGCGTGCCAAGGGAGTAAATAATAATTACTAATACTTTGGCTGCTGGCTGGCGATGATTACCGTGTGCACCGTGGCCTGCACCACCACAGGCGGTAATTCATCGCCGAAGTCAAAGTGGATTGCGTAGTGTAGACAGGGCCACCACCAGCACCACTCCCACCGGCCCACCTAGCCATGAGCTGCCAGCGAGGCAATTGACCAACATTTTCAATTAATTTTTGCTCCAATAAGCAGCCAGGCTACGTTGCTAAGGAGAGATCTGGCCGAGCTCGCCTCGCCTGCCTGTACCCATCCACCGCCCCTCCCCACTCGGGGCCGCAAAACATTTACATACCCTCCTCCCTCCCCCCAGACCCTGGACCGCGAAACTTCCTTTTGGCCTTAACGCACAGTTGAGTTATTTGAAGCGCAGCTGTTGGCCAAAGTCAGGCCAGAATTTCGGATGTGAGGGGCGGAAATATGCCGCAGATATTGCAGCAAACTTTATGTATGGCGACTCGTTAACCTTTTTTTTTCGCCTGCCAGGAAATATATCTTATAATTATAGTGGAAGGCAGTGTGCCAAAAGCAAAGCCAGCGGAAAGCGAAGGGGTTGAATGGCCCACTTGGGCCTCTCTTAAGTTTTCGGCTTTATGGCAGGTGTTAACCAGCCCATTAACAAATAGTTGGATTAGTTGGAAGTTTTTCAATATCACTTATCTTGAAATAAAGCCATTATAAGGGAGTGAGGGGAGGAACTAGTTAAGAAGGATATTTAAAGAGCCAGTTACTTCAATATCTCCCTTGTAGACATGGTTTTCTTGAAGTTGTAGATGAGAAAGCGTGTCAATGATTTAACTGCGTCCTCTGCAACATGCGAAACCTAATTATACACATAATAAGTACAACTTTTTAGTTTCGCAATAAAGTTAAAGCAAGCTAGAAAGTTGCAGAGCCCGAGTCGCAGGTCCCACCCCCTGGGCGACTGTCAGGCCGCGCTACCACGGAGTACTCCGTGTCCTGTATGCATCTGAAGTTTATATAACACATCCATATATCCTTGTACATACATACATACATACATACGTCTACCCATGCGTTTATGTAAGTGATTCCATGTGCATTAACTTAAATGCTTTGCGGGCTGGGCACTTTGCTTTCTAAAAGGCAAAGCTAAAATAATAAAAATAAAAAGCTGGGCGGGAGAGAGATGAGAGGTGAGACTGGGTAGAGAATGGTTTTTCAAACATTTAACGATTTTTTAGGTCATCCAGCGAAAGAAGAGAAATATTTTAGCATAAAATATTAAATATGAATGGGTGCACGAGAGTGGTGCCCAGAGCCACAGCAAGCTTTCTTTGGCTTCAGTTCATGAAAGTCACACAAGCCCACAAAGGCCTGGGTTGGATTACGAGGATTCCTGCACTGGAACTTCGCGCACTTTTTGTAAAGCGAAACTTATTAACGCACTTCAGGATGTGCATTAGAAGTGCAAGTGCTGGGCCCTCCACATGCCTATAGGCCTCTACATGCGCTGGGCCTGCAGCCGATAGAGAATGCGTGGCCTTGCCACAGCTTTGACAATAAACAGGCTGAAAACCTGAAAACCTGGCTGCTGGCAGAAATTATGATGGGGCTGGAACTCAGAGCCAGAACTCAGGGTTTTTGTAATTATTGAAATACAGTCCTCACCTCACCTCACCACTCATTCACATGCCAGGCACAGTGGTACCTCACCAGCCCCATCCCTTCCCAGCCCCAATGCCCTGTCTCTCTCTCTCTGGTGCTGTAAATAATTTCAAAGTCTGCGTACCGTCAAGAAAAATAGGTCAACAGTGTAGTTGCTTCTGCTGCAACGGCTGCTGCTGCTGTTAAACTGGGCGTGACGGTAAAAGTGGCGAGATGATGTTGCATTCGCCACGCCCCTGGATCCTGCCTCCCACCTGGCTCAGAAGCTTTCGACCATAAAGTAGCTGCTCCTGGTGAAATGCGCCGAGTTTCGCATATTTTCCATTCGCTCCGCTCCCACCTAATTGGGGTGCCAGTGGGCGTGGCGGGTCCTGAATTCCTACACATAAATTGCATAGGATCAACTAGTGGTTAATATTTGATGGCTGCTGTTTGCATTTTTTTTTTGCAGCAGAAGCAGCAGCAGCAGCGGCCGTGGCAGAGGCAGTAGCAGCAACCGTATCAGCAGCAAGCTGCAGCAACTACATCCGAGCTAAAATGCAGCGACCTACTTTCTGACAATGCATTTTTGCAGAGCGGGAGGCGGCTTGGGGGCGGCTGGCTGGCTTGGGGGACTGGAGTGTGGGGCAGTTAAGTGTTGTTCGAGGGCTGCATCAACAAGTACACGCTGAATAATTTGCAGAGCTCCCTTTGGGAGGCGGAGGGAAATGAGTAAGAGCTCCGGCTTGTTGATTTTACTTTATTGCTCCGCTGCTTCAGCTGCATCTTCAGTGCCAGCGGATTCGAGGATTTGGCTACAAGGAAGGTAACATTGATCAATTTCAAGCCAGAAGGACACACAAGAGTTATCCGGAATGTAAATAGGTTTAAATCCTAGTACCAATGAGGTAATCCTTAACGTATTTTATAAAAGGCTAACATTTTAATAAAGTGCTTTAAGGACGTGTTCTCTAACCGCTTACTGTGGCTGAAACCCTTTCAGTTTTAGAGCCAACGAGCCGTGACAACTCTCGACGGAAAACTAGAAATATTTCAACCATCAAAGTCAAATCTTTGTGGCAACTATTTCTCAACATTTTGTTGGTTTTTCAAAGTTTGTTTCAACTCTTCATGACGCTTTTCACTTGCAACTACTTTCGCTAAAATAATTTTGCGAGAAACAATTAATAAATAAATAACTAAGCAGAAAAAAAGAGCAAATGCTTGGAAAACATACAAGAAAATGTTGAAAAGATAGAGTAGAAAAGCGGAAAAGGCCGAAAGGGAAGCAAGGAGGAGGAATAGCGAGGCTAAACGAGGCAACGAGTCCAGTTGAGTCAAGTTGAGTTGAGCCAGGCCATGTCCTTGGGCAACTTCCCACGCAAAAACGTTCCACCAGCAAAGGTTACCCCAACACACACACACACATACACTGCTATAAAAACACACACACAGATACGCAGCAGCGCAATCAAAGAGAATGGCTGAAACAAACACACGCCGATACAGCTACAGATACAGATACAGACACACTCGACGCACCGCACCGACAAAGAAAGAGAAAACAACATAAAAATTAAAGAAGCTTTAAGTATTGCCGTTGTTTTTCTTGCCCGGTATGGTGGGTGGGTGGTGTTGTGCAGAGGGGGGGGGCGGTGGGACGGGTGGGTGTAGGGGTGGCGGAGGCTGGCCGACTGTCAGATATTGGTTTTCTTGCCACATTCCCAACGTTTTCATTTTTTTTTTCTAAGAATTCGCACGCTGTCAAAGTTTATTCGCTCTCACGCACTTTTCTCTCTTCGCTCGCACTTTCTCCGTGGCTGGCTTTCATGGCTCTTTCCCGGCTCGGCTCTCCCTGTTCACCTTAAAGCTCCACTGAGCGGCAATGGTGTGCCTGCCTTTGTGCGAATGGTATATAAATGTGCAGCGATTATGGCCAAAAGATCTTTGTGCCGTTGCGAGATACACTTCGTCCTGGCAAAGATACAAATACACAGATACAGATACACAACAAAAGCGTTGAGGGCGCTACTGCAGATGTATGTATGGGGAGCTAGAGGAGCAGGGCCTTTAAATATTAAATTAATAATGAGAAAACAACATTCCCGACAAGGGCCATCTCGGTAATAGCAAAAACTGGTACTCCAAGAACATTTCGTCTAAAAATACCCCCTGTCCCAGATGCTAAATATCTTGCAGAGCCCAATCAATAATAAATACCCATCCGCAGTACTAATCAGCACCCCTGTCCTTGGATCCGTAGGTGTTTTTCTTCTATACCATCTCTATATTGTTTCTTATAAATCTAACCAGGATGGGAGCGGCTTAAACCGCCCGTGTATGCGAGCGGTTATTTTTAGGCTTTTTAGGTTTGAAGCCAAGTCGTCGGCTGCTGCTCCGAGCGAGCAATCTTGCTTTAAATGTTTATGAATTTTTCATTCACATATGGCTGTAATCAGCAGATGAGTGCATATGACTGCCGAGGGACCCACAATCCACCTGTGAAACCGGATCGAGTGAAATGTGTGATAAAATGTTTAAACTTACAAGGACATCTATATTGAAGTTTCCCGACTATATCGTGGTTTTCAACCCATAGAATTTTATAGAATAGATTATTTTTAATGTATCTACGCTTTTTATTTTAAAGCATTTTAATATAAAATTTTACTCCACACTATTGGGAGCTCAAAAATAGACACTGACACACAACCAAGCAGGGAGGCAGATGAAATGTGCTACACACCAAGAGTATTCAGATACTCTCAAAAATAGTTAATAATAGGAAGCTGTAAAAAAAATGAATATTTCACTTCAGCTTTTATTAATTAAATTTTTATTTCTTCCACAAAAGTTCCCTTATATTAACAATCAAATATTATCTAACACAGCCCATAGCGAGAGCGGGCCTCCACCTCACAGAACCAAGTGATCCCCCTCGACGGTCTCCTGGGAGTACTGGCACCCCAACTCCTTGTCAGCTGCCTTCGCTCGTCCCATGCGATACCGCCTTCCTCCCAGCAAGCCCACTACCAGCAGGACAAACAGGGACCCACTGGCCACCCCTATGATAGGAATAGTCCAGGGATTCACTTCGCCCTCGTCGTCGGCAGCTTCATTGAGGCCAAGAATCTTGTCAAGCAATGTCTGGTCACGCTGACAGGTGAGCGAATCCTCGGCTTCGGTCGGTTCCTGTGGAACATAGCCGTCCAAGCATTGACACATCCCGGACTCGAGGCAGCTTTGATGGGGACCACAACCGGCAGTGAGGCAACTGACCTCGTTGCTGGTGAACTGCTTTTCCCGGCATTCTCCGTTAAAGAGGACGAAATCCTCCTGACACTCTATAATGGCAGACGACGTATAGCTTGTGGACTCAGCTTCGATTAGGCTCTCCTCGGTGGAGTCCAGTTCCTCCGAACTTCCTTCCACCTCCTGGCACATTTCTTCCGTTTTGTCCCACCGGTAGCCCGGGTTGCAGGCGCACCGCTCCACGTCGATGCAGCGTCCATTTGCGCAGCCACCTCCAACCTGGCATGTGGGCAGGCAGTCGCCACTGACACCATCGCCGGCAGGCTTCTGCTGGACGTAGCCGTCGCGGCAGGCACAGGTGTTGGGCGAGACGCACTGAGCTCCGGCCGTGCAACCTGTCTCACAGATGGGTTCACAGTAGTGGCTGCCACCGTGGTGGCTCTTTGCCGAAACGTAGCCAGCAATGCACTCACAACGTTCCGGAGCGGCACAGCTGGCGTGGGCCGGACAGCCGCGAGTGCAGATGGGCTCGCACAGACCGGACTCTACCTTGGTGTAGCCCTGGCAGCACTCGCGAACCAATCTGTGGGTCACCTGCTCCTCTTCCGAATCGTAGGTCTCGGTGAACTTCACAGTCTTCTTCCAGATCTTCCATTTTGGTGGCTCCTTTACGATGGTTCTTTGCTTCTTCACCGGAACTATAGACCGCACCGTTTCGTTCCGTTCGCAGTAATTATCCCGCAGCGCTGGCACCAGAACGGGACACACCAGCAGAAACACAGCCCAGATCAGCTTCATTTTCAGGATGTCTGTGCGATCGCAGCGACTCTTGGCACAAAACTGAAATCACTATTCAGTCGATCTCTGCTTGAGAGCTGAACCGCGCTGGGCTGCAGAGGGATCATCGATACAGCAGGCAGGCAGATAGGACACGAAAACATCCGCTAGATAAACACAACGGTCTTTACACTGAACGAAATTTCGTTTTCGAAATTGTAATTTTCCAAAGGATATTTAACATTTTCGAATTCCTTAGTTAGTTGTTGGTTTTTAGACCAATTATGAAATGTATTCCACTCCGATAAAAATATTAAATCAGAAATTCTCTCAGTGTCTGTACCGCGGAGGGTTGCAGCATATCTCAGCCTCTGCCAAAGGTCACACTCAGATTGCAGATGACATTCTGTCCTGTTCTGACTTTCAACTGCAGGGTCTATGCATTAATACTTAATATTATCATTAAGCCCGCTTTATAAGCTGCCCGCATAAAGACACCGATAAGTCCGAGAATATCACAAAGACTCAATTGTTTTTCGCCGAGGTTCCGATATGTCGAAGTGACTCACAAAGAGCGGAACTAAATAGTTTATAGTAAGTACTACAGTTTTCATTATGACTTCCTCTATCGGAGTATTTTCTAATAATGCATTTACTCATGGATTCTCAGGGTCAACAAATATTTTAAAACCTCGAAGAAATGGGGTTTCAGAAAACAAAATTCTCAACCCTCGCTTGGGACAAGGAAGAACCTGATAGTAAGGTCCATTTTGGTACCTGCTCTTTTCAGTATTTACCTGCTTATATTTTTCGTCTTAAAGGAATCAAAAAATATCCCAGAGATGGGCTAAGTGTTTTTTCAAAATTATGCGACAGATATTACTTTCCATATGGTTACTTTATGGCGCTATAAATACACATTTTTTGAATTTATAATCAAAATTAAAGGTTAGATCTTCGTTGAATGCCCTTTTAATATTCAATTCTTATGTTTTAGTTCAGTTCATTACCATAAAAAAAAAAATTAATTAAATAGATTCTAGAACAGCCTGAGACCGAATAGACTCTTATGATTATTCACCGAATAGACTCTCCAAGCATAAAGTCGGAAAATAAAGTCGTAGGAGGACTCTCCCCGCCTGACGCCAAACAATTCAATTTAGTGGGATAAAATATGTGAAGATTTGAACCACTCGAACATATATTTTAACCCCCCGGATGATGTGACGTCACTGGGTCTGTCGAAATTACAAATTTGTTACTTTTGTCACGCTCGCTTCGAGTCGGGCTCCAAAAAGAAGGAGCCCATACACACGCATCCGTCAATGCTGGAACAGGCGTAGTGTCGCTCACGTATCCAGGGCCGCAAAGGGCTCCAACTGGCTCCCGCAGCTCTCCCGCAGCCCGAGGGCTCCTTTATGGAACATATGAACGGATGAATGACAGCTGACATAGAGACAAAAGTGTGTGTGACACAGTCACATTCTAATCTAAAATAATTGAATTGAAGTCAGATTGCAACTGATGCCTGGCCTGGCCTGGCCCGGCCCTCAGCCAGTGTGTATCTCCCAGATACACAGATACAGATACAGATACAGCACGACGAGTATCTTTTGTGAGCGCGGGTCTGTGTGGAAAGTGTAACTGTTGGATAACAGATAAACTGCAAACTCGTCGTCGTCGCTCGACAATGTGCCACTGACAGCCAGCCCGTATCTGTATCCGAGCTCGCAGCTTGTAGCTGTATCTGCTGGCGGCATATATTTGTATCTGTACCCAGTCGGTTGCCCACATCACATATGCGGCATGCCGCCCGAGATAATTAATGGTTAGCTAACTGGATTTGGGTTTGTCATTGTCTTTGGCGTCACTCCTTGCTCTGTGCACCAGAAAAGAAGGACCGCCATATCCGGTGTATCCAAAGCCGTCCACTCTCAGTCCTCGGTTCGGGTTGAGATTTCTCACGTCGGCAGGTGCAATTAGGCTCGCAGGAGTAACCTGGCAAAAGTTCGGGGTGGCCTGACTTAATGCCAGGACTACGGCTGCGATTCGCGAGCCGCTAATTGCCAGCCATAAATTTGCATTATCTCACGTAGGTAAACCCCCTGTAAAGCGTTCAAGGAAGTCGCACACCTCCTCCTTCTGCTCCCTGCTCCATCCGCCGGTGAACTGTTAAATTATCTAAGTTGCCGGCGGCCCCAAAACTTTGGCCCATGCCCCATGCCCCATGTGACATCTGCTGCTCAAATGCACAGGCACGTAGCCGCCTCGGTTCTGAATCAGTTCTGGGCCATGTCGGGCGGATGGGTGGCTCGTTTGCTATGGACAGTTTAACTGGCACCATGTTAAGGTATTTCATTGCTAAGCCTCTGGCTCTCTCATCGCCCAGGTCCCACCTCCGTCACTCTTTTCGTTGGCACAAAGTTTTGGCCGCACGAAACTTTTCAGCTCCCAAATGATACGACAATAATTTTAATTATAGATTAGCCGACAAATCCTCGAATGAGCACTAAAACTCTTCAAATTATGGCAGCTGAGGAAGGTGCTCTCGGTGTATGAAGGTGCTTGGGTCACCGAAGGATATGCCCCTAACAGAGTCAGTTGATGTGGAACGCCTAGTTTAGCCAAAATTTGGTTCTGAGTACATAGAAATAATATCTATCCACATTAAAGCCTTCCACTAATTAGACATCCTTCAGCCTTTTGTGAGGATTCCTAAGCAGCTATCACTCTTCGTTAACTTGCGCTGGCAAAGACATTAGCCACATCTTCTAAAGCCGGCCATTGTCAAGTATCTGTATCTATATTTGCCAACCTCTGCCCTGGCCTAGTTTCGGGGCTACAATTAAGTGGCCTGAGCAAGAAATAGAGGACTGTTAACCTTAAATCTCTTGCCCATTCGCGGAGCGAAGGTTAATGGAACAAGCGCAGCCATCTGAGGGGAAGAGTCCGACAAAAAGTGAGCATTGTTAGACGGCTTTTGTGCGTTGGTCTTGCCAGCTGCCAGTTGGCCCACTGAGCGATTCAGAAAAAATAGATGTACAAAAGCTGGACCAGGGGACACCAGGGGACACACGTGAGAAACTTTGCAAATGGAAAAGAGAAACTGAAAGTTGAAAACTGAAAACTGCGACGCCGGCTGTGATTAAAAGGCAGCGACGCCATTTGTGTTGTGAGGATACAAACAAATATGTGTACGTATATAGTGTGGGTGTGTAACTTGGTCTAGGGGCTTCTCATTTCTCGGCTGTGGCCATTTTCATCTGCTGCAAAGTTTAAGGTCCTTCATACATAAATAAGCAGTGGGAAAAGCGTCGTCGCCTCAAAGTATGGCGGCAAACAGCCGTGGCCGAATCAGCGGCAAAGCCACTGGCTGTGGCGAAGGCTGAGACAGAGGCAGAGGCAGTTGCCAGTTGGCAGCGACAACTAAGCGGACATGACACCCACTAGAGGAGCGCACTTCAAAACGGCCAACACCAACAGCAACAACAGCCCGACGACACTCATCAACAACGGCCCAAACAAGAGCGATAAAAACAAGCGCAACAAGGACTCCGTAACTCGAGACTCGGGCCAACGCAAAAAGCACAGTGGTAAAAAAAATATTTAAAAAATATTTAACATTAAGTAAAAAATAAAAATCTATTCTTTCTTAAAAATTAAGATTCTCAATTTTTTTCAGACTTTTTTTTAAATAACACTTTCTGTTGAGAGTGCCAATATATAAAAGTAACTTTTAACCAATAGGCTTTATTTAATATGATTATGATTATAAATCAATTAATAATAAAAAAAAAAATTAAATTTAATATGAATGAAATATAAGTTTGTCTAAAAATATAAACACTTCCTTTAAATAAAATACTTAACACACTGTGGGGCGAGTTCAACATGACACATCGTCATCATACACGAACGTAACAGTCGCGAGTGCCGAGAGCCTGTCATTGTTTGTGTGTGCGGGTGGGGATATGTGTGTGCGTGGGTGGGTGGCTGGATGTGCGTGTCTGTGTGGGTGTCCTTTGAGCAGTCAGTGTGGCAGTGTGGCAGTCAGTCAGGGCTGCTGGCACATAATTAAGGACATCGTCGGCCAAAGCGAAGGCAACAAGGAAAAAGTGAATTACTTTCGGTAATACTCTTTGTAGAGGCTTTTGAAAAACAAAATCATAAGTATAATATATATATAATGTATATATTTATAATAGGTTTATATAAATATATTTTTCAAAAGACAATACAATGAAAACTATTTGAAAACAAAGTCATCCAAAGTAGTTAATAAATCCAATATACTTTATGCTTTTATAAGCTTTGTTTTAATTCTCAAGAAGCTTGTATTATTGGCTTAAAGACTTTAATTTCTTTGGGAAAAATAATTCAGGATTTTCACGCATTTCAAATACTCGCCTTAGCCTGACAGAGTATGCCCCATGACTACACTCACGGTTGCACTTTTGTTTTTGTTGACATCTCACTGCCTCGCTGTTTGCATTTGGATTTTCTGATGAGTGTGTTGGCAGTGTTGGCCGTGTCGGAGGAGTCGGCATGAATGAATGATGAAAAGAAATGGCTAAAGATTTAGCCAGGCCCATAGACAGTGGGGGAGTACTCTGGCTCTGGCTCGTATTCTGGGTCTGGGTCTGGGATGTATCCGCAGCTGTAGCGCGGAAGACAAAGCCTCAAATGGGCATAATGGGCGTAAGAAGGCGGCTGAGTCGAAAGTGCTCTCTGGCGCAGCAAGCCCGGGACAATGCAGCACGAAGTGTGTCATATTATTAATGAAAAAGAGCCTGGCGGAGGTGGGGCTGGAGCTAGCCAAAATGAGCAGCCACCGGGAAAAGGAAAAAAAGCTGAAACACAAGAAAAAATGGAAACACAAACAGGAAGCCAGAGCGCTTTTAATATGCAACAGTCTTGGCGCGATGCGTGTGTAGGGGACGGGCTGGGTTTTCCAAAATAAAAATGAAAATGAAAACGAAAATGAAAATCAAGCCAAAGCCCAAAAACCACGGCACAAGAGCAAATAAAGCGAGGACGGTGCCAGCGTCAAGTTATTTATTTGGCAATTGTGCGATGCTTTTTATTGTCCTCGGAATGGCTGCTGCTCTGTTTGCTTTTGGGCATTGCCCCAGCCTCCCCATCACCCAACCCCCATTTGGCACCCACCCTCGACCGCCTACTCAGTCAGTCACCCACCGCCGCCGCCTCCGACATGCGGCACATTGGTGTGTATTTGAATGCGGCGGTGTGGTCGCCAAAAGGTCAATGGAACAATTTTAAAATGCTTGGCCGAGAAATAAAACAAGAAAGCAAATCAAGCCCGATTGCGTACCCGAGGACAGCCATTGCAACCTCCAGGGTGATGAGAGTCGAGGAAATAACCTGTGGTTATGGCTTTTAGTATCCGGGGGACCTCACTTCCCATTCCTCTTATTTTTCCGGTGTGTTTGAAGGGCGTGGATAAACAAAATTTTCACTCTAGCTAAAGCAGTCAAGATATTCACGAATTTGACTGAACTTTTATACAATGTCTAGCAATCTTAAATTTTGCTATAATTCGGACTTACCTCTTCAGTTACTTTTTCCATCAAAAGATTTCCGAATTTTTATGTAAATATTTAGTTGATCTAGATGAATATTATTTGTTACTATAAAGACTCCAGTTAAGATCGGTTTCGGGCTTTGTATTTAAAATTTGTTCAAATTGTCTATCAAACCACCACTCAATATAACTAATGAAGTCAATGCAACTATCTTACGTCTTAGTATGGTTTTATTGCGAATGGATACGATTATTGAAATATGCTCATGGGTTTTCGAGTGTTTTTTTCTTTCTGAATTGATTCGTATCCTTACTTCATTATTATTCGTTCTAATTTTAAAATGGATTTAATGTGTTTTCTGGAGCAAATCGAGCTTGGGTTGGTTCTTCTTACTTCATAATTTATTGTTAAATGTAATTTTAATTAATCAATCTTGTGCGTTTATGAACCCCAAATGGTTTACTATTTGGGTTATATTAGAGGTTTAAATTGTTTATTTTTGTTCTTAATTTTTTATATTATAGTTTTTATTTTTAAATTTCTCTTTTCTGACTCTGCAACGTTGTTGTTAAGCTTTCGGGTTATGTGTTTAAGAAGTTTTCGGTATATTCCGTATTATTTTCACATTTCTGGATTTGTTATTTTTCCAATTTAGTTTACTGAACTTATATAATCTTTTGTTTAGTGTGGATCTCACTCAATCAAATGAAATATTGCTTAGTATAAAATATCGAGTATATATAGTTTTTCGTTCTACTAGTTCTGACATCCATTATTTGTGCGATGCATGTCGATGGCTGTTATGGAGGGAGAGGAAGTCGAATTCGAATTAAATTTGGCAAATCGCAAATTATTCAGTGAGCAATCATCGGGAATTTCTCACTTGTTGACAATGGCCCAAGCGTCTTTCGGTTTTATTCAGTCGTTTCACTTTTCCCCAGCCAGCTGCCCACACAATGTGAACATAAACGTAACCATTGCCATTTACTTTTTGGCACCTGTTATACACACTGTTGGGCACACGCTCCCAGACACCCACACACACATGGGCTCCGAGGATACTTGATACTTTTTTTGGCTCGAAATCATAATTGTCTTGATGGTCAATTAGAAATTTGGCATCACGACACTTTGAATGAATTTCTGAATGGTAATAAAAATAAAAGTATCGGCGAAAGAAATACCAAATAGATGCAGGAAGGATGTGGAAAAATATGTGTGTAAAACGGAGGAAAATAATCATAAGGACGATGGTGATGATGATGGAACTTTCACAATCCCCCCCGCTCACACACACACACACACGCACGCACGAAAGAGAAGGACTTGGAACGAAAGAAAATATTGGGAGCTTTTTTTGCACAAGAAGGAATAAAAATATCAATTTCCCCCACAGACACACACACACACAGGCTTTCAGGGATATAGCACATATACTATATACAACTAGGTTTGTCCGCGATTAGTTCAATGGGTTTACCTGGCAACTGTCTATTCGGTTTTTTTGTTATTTTATTTTTTAATATTTTTTTTTAGTCTGTGTGTGTGTTTTTTTTGGTTATACATATATAGTAGATATGTATGTGTAGATAGTGTTGTTGTGCACACACACACACCAGGCCACGCACAGAGTCACACACTCACACAGACACAGACGCGCGCGCACCGCCAGCAGACAGACAACAGGCACACACACACACTCGCAGGGGCACACAGGCACATGTACACGCACTCACAGGACACACGGATGCGGAGACGGATACGGATACGGGATGCGAATGCTTATGCGAATGCGACCACGGGCAACGCGCCGCGACTCCCGACTCTGATGGGCACACTCTCAACCGCTCAACCGTTCAACCGCTCAATCCCTCAGCTGCTGTGCATGGAGGCAGAAGGCAACTGACAACACAACCCGAAACCGGAACACCAACTGAGCCCGATGCCCGTGCAGCATTGCCAGCCATCCGCCGCTGGAAGTGACTGCAGAGTCCACCGGAGGAGCCGAGCGTTCCGAGCGAGCCGAGTGCCGCCGAGCATCCCACGACGCATCCTTGTGCAGGAATCCGAGGAATCCAAGCTCCTGGGGCTGCGCCGCCACAGCCCGCTGGCTGGAAGATGGGCCACGAGTCCTGGTCCGTCGTCAGGACTCGTGACTCCTGGAAGGCGACCTAGGCGCAGCTCTCTAGCTCTTCCCGGAGAGCTTTTGGCCACCGTTTCCCCTTCTGTAAGCGGAGGCTGTAAGAGAACGCACGGATATGCGCACTCTCCTTGCTCGGGAGGACTCTCTTGGCACCCTCATGGATGCTCATGGATGCATACAGGGTCCTGTCGATTCCCATTGCGTTGGCAGTTGTGCGTGGTCAACTCCAGATGGTAAGAAATTATTGGAAGAACTGGTTAAGGGGTTTTCAGGGTTAAATTCTAAATTTTTACAAGCTATGGTAAAAAAATATGGTAAAAGGTAGAGAGGGAAGTTATTTAAGAAATTTAAACTTTGAATTTGTTTAAAATGTTATATCCTTTCAAAAGAAAAACTACTTAGTTTGTTGTTATCTTTAAACTAAATAAAAATATCAATAGTTATAGGGCCAAAAGCCATTCATTTATTGCTCATATTCCTCCGACGGATATTACTTCGAATAAATATTCGAGTGTCAACCGCATCAAGGCCCCTAAAATACTGCCTTCTATATGTTGTGCCTTTTTATTCCTGATGGCTTGACCTAGTGCTGCTGTTGAGAGCCCCCAATTCAATCGAAACTAATTCGAAAGTCTTGGAGAAGGCAAGAAATACATTCATTCATACACAGGGCACAAATGGCCAATACAAGAGCTTACACCCATACTAATAAGAGATTACAAGCACACACCCACACACTCAAACCCACACTCACACTCGCACAGGCAGGCAGGCTCGCTCCCATACAGACGCAGCATGCGTATGTCCAGAGCCAAAAATGATTTATGACCCCACAAAAAAATTAATTTAAAGTAAGTTCGCATGAATGAAAAATGGCTTTTACAAACGCAAAACTACAGGGCGCCCTCAGTGCGAGGGCGAGCAAGGATAGGGTGAGATGCTGACGAAGAAGAGCGGACCAAAGGATGCTGCACAGGAGCTGCTAACAAGGACCTTTGCTCTTCTGACGGGACACTTGTAGGTAGCTGGCTCTTCGGAAGCTAACGTCCTGTCTCTTCCACGGAGCTTTAAGCTCGGCACAGCCTTCCATTGCACTTATTCCTGTTTATCCTTCCAGTGGCTGTCAAACCGTCGTCGGCCCGCGCACCCGAAGGACAAAGGAGGAACCGCTCCTGCTCGGCATTTTCCTGCATACATACTTGTTCGTTTTCTGCCATCGGTTGGTATCCATGAATGAAAGTTCCTGATAATGGCAGCATTTGTGCCTGGCACCCAGTAACGTGCAGACACGGGCTGTGGCTGCAGGATATGCACTCGCAGGACCCTGATGCCCCTGCCGCGCCCAAAAACACGAGCAGGGATCTTGCAGCGACGTACGCCTGACGAGGTCCCGAATTAAGTTTAAGAAGAATCAAGGAGGGGATTTCGCAATATTACGCATACGCATTAACTGGCATTTGCAGGACTCTCCCATTTTTATTCGAAATTTTATAATTACCAATCTTTAAACTGACTCTTTCTGAAATATATAAATTGTATCCATTTATCTTAAAATAAACTTCGTTAGAATAGTACAAATATTTGTATATCCTGCATTCAAATTAAATGTCCTCGTTGGGAGAAAATAAATTGAACCTGATTATTTCCGATTAGTTTCCACACTTTAATGCAATAAAAAATGCTAACTAGAGACGGAGCTAAAAGCAAGGATAATTAATTTTCCCGAGCTCCTTGCCTCTCTCTGGTTTTGTTTGTTCCTTCCGAGCTTTCTGGCCATTGTTGGCGTTTGTAGCGGGCTCTTTCAATTGCTTCATTTTTATCGCAAACAAAAACACAAACCCACTCGCTCCTCGTGGCCGTGTCAACCGCAATCTAAGTGGCCTGCTCCAGTATCCTTGTGCATGTGTATCCTTGTATCATTCGCCATTTCCTTCGCTTTTGGCCCGGTCGGCAGTTCTTTGTTGGGCGGACTTTATTTAATTTGCTCGGCACTTTGTTTGCCAGCTTGCTTGCTATTTGTTTTGATTTTTCATGTTTTCGCGCACTTTTCCCCGTTTTTGTTGCTGATTTTCAGGCATTTTGACCAGAACATTTTGTTCATCTGAAAGCATCTTAGCTGGACACATTAAAGACATTCGAAAAGAACCAAAAAAAGGTTTAAAATTTTGGAAATTGTATGCGCGGCTCAATCGCCGCGTATTGACCCATTTAACCAATGTCCATTCCATGCCAACTACCGTCCGTCACCCTCGACCCGGCCTACAGTCCCTTTGGATGTCTGCTCCACTTGGCAGCCCTGCTCAAATATTAATTCATATCAAGGTTTTGGCATTCGGTTTCAATCGAAAGCTGCCACACACTCCCCCGAACCGCCGTTCCCTTGGCCCAGTTCGTTTCGGTTGGGATCGTGTAATGAAATTTAAGCAGAATTGTAAAGTCAACAAACCGCAAATAAAGTGCAATTTAGGGCGGATTCTCGCCGAACAAAAATTGAGAAAAAAGGCTGTGAAATGCTTTTTATTTTCCCGGATCCTCTTTCGCCTCGAAAATCCGAGGATAGGCATCTGCCTGGTTTCACCTTCTCCCACAGAGTGCAACCGGTGAGTTCAGGCTGCACTGGCTTGCGATGGGGACCGGGCACAAGGCCACACGGAACTTCCAAATAGACTGTTTCTGGAAATTAGCCCTGACACTTTACTGCTTCAATTTGCCCCTCTGATTTCTCGATAATTTATGCAGCTTGATTTCGTTTCTCGCTTTCAGCCGTTCGACTTTTTCAATTGATTCCATGACTGTCAAATGAATTGTCGCCTGGCCAAAAATTTCTCTTTTTGCTGTCGGCTCCCGACTGTGGCCCGAAACTGTGTCGAGGCCATTGATGTTTAAAATTAGTTTAGCCAATGATGGGGGAATTTAACTCTTCTGCCAAACAGAGCCAGCAGGGAACGAAATAAATAGTGTCGGAAAAAAGCATCCAGTGGTAAAGTGCATGGAGTTTATGAGTAAAGTGTTTATGACAATTTTCGAATTTATGTTTGAATTCTTGAGATATCTTTAGAAGCAAAATGAGAGCTATGTAGATACATGGATGATATCGATATTTATTTGGCATTTCCGTTCGATTCGCTTTGCTCATTACTCATGTCGGTTCGAGTCCTCATGGTAAATGATATGCAAAAGGATGCGAAATTTATTGACACTTCGATGGCCGCGTCCACTGCCGCTGCTCCTGGCATTTCAACTCAGTGCACGGCAATGATAGCTGCTTATCAGCATCGATGAGAAGCGGAAAACTACCAACAAGAACAAAAGGCTTTATGGGTGCATTAATCCCTGGAAAGTCTCTCCATACCGATACTGAGGGGCGTCAGGAAGAGGTGGCATCAGGACCAACTGCAGCCGCTTGCGAGCCATGGCACCTGTACGCGAATATTCCATTAAGCTCTTCAATCCCTCTTCTTTACCGCACAATTCACAGGGTAGCCATATTTTCACGAGATATAAGCCATAGCTGAGAAAGGGAAAAGAAATACAAGTACATTTAAGGGCTTTTAAGTTGGAATGACTATTGTTTATATATTTCAAAGGCCGATAACTTTACTTTAAGTACTACATGAATATTCTACAGACTTTACTGCAACAAGAAATTGGTAAACTTTTGTAATTCCTTAGTGAGAAAAACTATAAATAGTGTATTCATTAGAACGAATTCATTTTCATAGTTTTACAGCACTCCTTTTCGCCTGCCTGCTTCGTTCTGGTTACTTTAATGCAATAATCCTTGAATGTCGGACGCACGAACGAGTTGATAACAATTTCAATTTTTATGACAAGTCAACTTGGCCGGCTATCCAGCAGAAAGCAGCAAGCAGCCAGTTATCCGGCAACAACGTAAGGGCCAAACGAAACGAACTCAATCGTCCCGATGGCGAACAATAATAATAAGAGGAGCAACAGCAACAATAATAACACGGCCGATTGCTCCATTACCGCTCTCGAAGCCCTCTTCTCCGTTGGCCAGTTCCTTTGGCCGCATTTTTCTTGGTATATACGAGAACTCATATTTCGATATATATATTGTATATATATATGGATGTGCAGTTTGCAGTCGGAGCGTTATGATTTATTGGCATGCAACACGGCGTCCTCTTCCGGAAATGTGTGTGCAGTCAGCCATTTTGATGCGAGAAAGGCGTGGAGGGGGCGGAAACGACTGCTTTATTACTGTTGTTGTTGCCGAATAAGCTAAGATATCACGTCGTTCGCCTTTTGCACACGACTGTCAACAAATTTGCATTTGCATCCATCTGGCTTGACAGGGCGGGAAGCTGTTTCGTTACAAACTGACTTCCATTTAATTGCCATATGATCGGTTTCAAACAATAACAAGTATTTATAGAGAGAATCGGTAATATTGAAGATTAACAGGGGCCTCGACCTGGTAAATTTAGCTTGGAAGACATTTTTCTAGAAACAAATATTCTGTTGCATATCTTAAGGCGTGTTTATTGGATTTCATGCCTACAGATTACATTTGTTTCTTAAAGTCTTATTGCACACTTTAATATTCTAAAAATCCCACTAAACACATTTCAGCCTTGCTTCTATAATTGACACATCCCACGATATTAAATTACTGAATAATGCACTTCATTTGCAATGAAAATCCGTTCGAAAACTTTCATCCATTTCATCTTGTTTTGGCTTATGTCTGGCCACCACCGCAAATCCCCAGAAATTCACGTCGATTATTCAATCATTTCGCCATCATTCATTTTGCAAATCCTGTTCCAGCAGAGGGCCGAGGGACGTGCACGACTCTGATTTGTTGAAAGTTTCGTTGTCAGCAGCAATTAAAACAACACCGCCTACGCCCACTAAAAAATGCACTGAAATTACGAGAGCTCTACAGCGCCAAACGAAAACAAGGAAATGGTAAACAAAAAAAAAAAAAACATACAAAATGGCATAAAAAGACCGAATTGAAGCGTGGCCAGGACGGGCGGCCACAAATGGGATGTTTTCATAGGGACCGAGATTGGAACCGGGAGTACGACTAGTTCTGGGAGGTTGCTGAAATGAAATTAAATAGGAAAAGCATGCGGCCGGAAAAGCGCCAACGACCAACAGGCAAATACATACGAATGTAGTCTGTGTGAAAGTCAGTCGTTTCCACAGCGATTTCAGGACTGGGCTTTGGTACAAGCCAGGATCCGGGACCGGGCCCGTGTCCGTGTCGGTGTCCTTGTTCTATCCGTATCCGCATACGTGTTCGTGTCCGTACTCTCGTTCATTGTTGGCATGCCAAAATTTTAACTGCACACCAAATAAAGAAACACACACAGCCAGGAGAAATTGTTGCAACTGCAGAAGCCGAAGGGAAACACAAACTAAATGCAGTCCTGTGTTTCCGGTAATGAAAACTTTCGAAATTTCTTTCGGGTTTTTTGCTGTGGGTTTGTTTTAGCTCGACAAGCCAATAAAAGTGATCAATGTTAAGACTGGATTATACCTGATGGATAAGCAAATGTTTACAACTAAGATGATTCTGTAGATGGGGTATATATGTATGGGGATTAATTATATTTATGTAGCTTCTTATTAATTCTGTGTATTTTAGAATAGGACCACAGTTAACGAAATTCACATTGTGCTCTATTGTATTAGAGGTCTTGGTAAATAACGAACAAATTCCATCAAAAATGAAAAGGCAAGGATTCGGCTACGGGCAACTTGCTAGCAAGCTGAAACAAAATTTGTTGCCGTATTTTTTTTTGGCTGCCCTTGTTTGGACTTTGCCAACGGTCAGAATTGCAATTACAATGAGCCAAGGGTAACGCAGAGGAAGCTCTGAGGGTGTGGGTAAGGGTAAGGACTGCATTCGGGACGAGTCCTGTGTGGGAGTTTGGCAAAGAAAAAACGTGTACATATAAAAAGGACAATGCGCTTATTGAAATATTTATAGCAAAGGCAACATGTTCTGGGGCTTGAAATGAACTGATTTCTGGGGAAATTAATGTGAAGTGAACTCAACGGGGAAGTAGATGAATTATGAATTCAACTTGGCTAAGAAGGGCACAGTAAGGAAATTATGGAAGCTTACTTAATCTGTTGCCTTAAAGTACAAGGCTATGCTATGGGTAAGAAAATTATACTTTATGGTTTATACTACGCGAATAAGATAATCAAGACAAGAACTTTGAGAAGACCCACATTCAGAGACTTCATTTGGCATAAATATCACTCATGTAAGTAAATAATAGGGAACTTTCATGTTCATTGCCTCAACCAAATGGTATAAAAACGGAAGAAATCACAGAAACTCAAGAGCAACAAAAACAGAGCCAAATTTATTTTGCGGAACTAAATTGAAATAATTTTGGCAGCTGAAATATGTACGAAAATATTTTAATGCCATATACATAGATATACACACTCAGAAATATACTCGGCAATAGAGAGGAGAATCCCAGACTGGCTTACAAATAAAAACAGGTTGCTCCCTCCTTCCGACCTCCGGACCCCGCTTTCCTGCAATGCCCTCCACTAGTTTCGGCGGTCCCGTCCCAACCATCTGCAATGCTTCTGGCAACTGCTTTGGCTGTCCTTTTTATACTGCGTGCTGCTCCAGCTGGCACTTGGCCAGGACTTCGTAATTTCTCCTTTTTTATTGCATTGGCCAAAAAGGAAAATGCAGCTAAAGCGTCGAGCGCCGAGAAGGCAAACAAACAAGCGCCAGACAAGAACTACATATTAAATTTGTCATTTTAGCACACGGACAAACTCGAGTTCGCTTGGGCAATGGAAGTCAAAGTTCGTCCTCCGTTCCACTTTGTTTCCGAAATAAATTTAAAACCGCATTTAGGCAGTGATCTCGAATTGAATAGGCCCGGAGTAATCAAAGAAAGCTTTAAGTTATACTGAAAAAAATTGCATTAAACCATATATCATGCATAATACTAGTAATATTACTTTCAACGAAAATAAGGTCTTATATTAAGGACTCTTGGATGTTCTCGGCAAATCCATTTCAATATCCAGCTCTTGCAGCCAAAAAACAGCCACAGAGATAGTAACAAGTCTTTTTGGCCCTGGCTCAACATCACAATTAATAAACATCGCAACATTTGCGGCAACAGGCAAATTTGTATTGCCATAATCGTTTTACTTGCGGAGGTTCTGGTTTTAATATTCCTGTCCACTGCATTGCTTGTTGCGGCTTTTCTGCTCCGGTTATCTCTTTCTCCATGGAGATATTCATATTCTGGTCTTCTGCCCCCACTTTTTGCGGTGGGGCCACATGCACATTCATTTACATTCTCGTAATGCCGTCAAAACCCGCAAATAGGATAAAGTGAATGTTGAAATGCTGGTTCAAACCAAATAGACAAATAAACCAACCATCTACTCATGAAACACCGAACAGAAAAAGTGAGATTGAAAATGGAAGCAAGCGAATGGATTTGAATTGCTGGAATTGCAAATTTTAATTGAAATATTCCAGCGGAAAGTTGTAGTTGCTCTTCCATTGAAATATTTCAACCTTTTCTAAATTCCTCTTCGTATAACAAGGACTAAATTAGTAATGTTAATAAGGGTATATAGAGTGTATAGCATATAGGTTAAGCTAATAGGCCTTTAATACATTTTTTTATAAATTCCCGAAAAGTTATTTTGAATAAACAAAAAATGATTCAATTTATATATTTATTATTTATCATGTACCAAGGTCTCTGATAAGCTCCACCCTGATTTGGATTCTTGAATCTGTACAACCTCCTAGTCAATGCATTCAACGAGTTCTTGAAACAGTAGCCGAGCTTTTGCTCCGAGAGCTGGCAAGAAAGGTGGGCAAATATTGTCCGCAGGTAAACGCCGGCCAGTTGATCAACTGATTAACTATCTTGACGGGCTGTCGGCTGGCTCCACACGCTGCTGCAATAAGATAAGGCCTATGGCTAGGAAAGCCGCAGATCCGTGGGTTAGTCTCCGGTTAAGTGTTCTTCGAGATGTACTACCGCCTGTCTTGTGTCGCACTCCTGCTGTTCAGCATCGGCTTCAGGGTCGATTGCCTGCAATTAAGCAACTGCAATAAGACTGATGTGCCCTTGATACCGGATGCGGAGCTAATTACAGCCCTCTCGCTGCACAACTGCAGTCTCCCGCGTCTGGAAAATGCCTTTTTCGTTCGCTTTGGCCATCTTCTTAAACTGGAACTGCAGTACAGTGGACTTACTGACATGGACGATTTCTCTTTAAACGGACTAGCCAAGCTGCACACGTTTTCCCTCAGCCACAACAATCTAAGCACCTTGAGGTCGTGGTCCAGCGAACCTTTAGCTGCCCTCACATCTCTGGACCTGAGCTACAACCGGATGGCCAAATTGAGGGAAAACAGCTTTTCACTGTTTCCCCAACTGCAGCAGATCAACTTGGGCTCCAACCAAATCAGTCAGATCTCAGAGGACTCCTTCCATGGGCTAGCTCACTTAAAGCACCTGATCCTCAGCGGAAACCGGCTGCAACACGTAGATAGCACCTTTTTCCAGGGGCTGCACCGTCTGTCCAACTTGGCCCTTCACCACAATCTCATCGAGAGCATCGACATGGACTCCTTTGAAAGTAACACCCATTTGCGAAGCCTTCGTCTGGATGGAAATCTGCTCGTCAGTCTTCAGTTTCTCAGTCAACGAGGTTTAGCCCGGGTCGTTCATCTGAATCTGTCCAAGAACCAGGTGCAAAAGCTGGAGGACCAAGGATTCTCGAAGAACTTTGAACTGCAGGCCCTGGACTTAAGCCACAACAATTTGACGGAACTCCAAAAGGAAACATTTTCTGGATTGGATTCGTTGGAGGTAAAATAAAAAAATCACTTATCTTCTAGAAGATATAAAAAGATTAAGATACTTACTTACAAAGGCCCAATATAAGTTTTCATATATGTATGTAGGTCATGTAAAGTTTAAAATGTATATATATTTTAAAAAATAACAAGCTAATCAGCCCATAACTCTTTTTTATCTTTAGCGCCTGAATATTAGTCACAATAACGTAGACCTTGTGGATGCGGAGAGCTTGCAGTTCCTTTCAAGCTTAATTCAAATCGATGTCAGCCACAATCGACTGACCACTTTACCAGAAAGGATATTCCAAGCCAATTCACAGCTAGAGGATGTTATTTTGTCCCACAACAAGGTGAAGGCCTTATCACCTCTGATTTTCAAGCACCAGAACCACTTGCGGTACATCCACTTGGCCGGAAATATCCTCGAAAAGGCCGAATTCTTAGAAAGTCTATCTCCATCCTTGAACCGGCTCTCGCTTTACGTGGACCTGAGCTCGAATCGCCTGCAGTCGGTCAGTATGAAGGACATGCTCCACTTTCGTTATATAAACCTGGCAGATAACAACTGGAGTTGTGCCTGGTTGGTCGGTAATCTGGTGCGCAAGCTTCCCCCTTCGATAAACTTTTCTCGTCCCTGGACGGTATTGAACAACTGGAGCGAAAAACTGACAAATATTCAGGGAGTGGACTGCACAGAAGGCAACACAAATCGATCTATTATCCTCCTAAATGTGGGTGAAGTTCTCCATAATGAAAAACAAAATTGCAGCAGCGGGGTAAGACACATCTAAAATACACATAAATATTTTTTCCTTTAAATATTTAAATTTCAGCTCTCATTCGATGGGGCAAACCCCTCCCCACCTCCTCTGACCTGGCCTAAAATACCAACCGATCGGTTCGATTCCAGATCGGTTATAATATGGATGCTGGTGGCCATTGCAATCGCCTTTGCTGGACTACGATGGCTAAGGAGATTCGTGGATCGCAACGAAAATAGGACAGGTGAAAAGTTGAAGGCCCTGAATAACATGGTTGGTTGAAAATGTTTAAGGTGTTATTTATCATCTTTAGTCGCTTAACTGAATGAGTCTAAAAATTCCCTTGATTCAGCTCATTATTTCCAAAATTTGTTTAAAGCTCACTTATCTATCACTTATCTTTCTATATGCTTTTCTAAAATGTATCACTCTATTCAAACAAATCAAACAGATATTCTATATATATATATATAGGGCATTCCTCCTATACGTGCCCCAGTAACGTCAGAGGCTCTTAATCGTTCCAATTGGCATTAAATTTCCTCTTATCAGTAACCTCCTTGTTTTGTTTCAGTACGTCAGCAAGCTCGAGTGGCAGCCCATTAGAAAAGATCATCAGAGATCGTAGCTTTCATCCCACTAACAACTCGACATTTAAAAGCTATTACAAACAAATGTATTGAAATTTCTAAACATGTAATATGATTACAATGTAAGCTTAAATAAATCTAACCTAGGCTATAATGAATGCGTTGACCCCGGAGCACTCACTTGTAGAGGCGCTCGATGACTTGGGCATACTTGGCGTGGACAATATTCCGCCGGATTTTAAGCGTAGGTCCCAGCTCGCCGGTGGCCACTGAAAATTCGTGGGGAACAAGGGCAAACTTCTGCACTCGCTGTGCATTCGAGATGGCGTTCTTGTTGGCCCGTTTGATACCTTCCTCCAGAGCCTCCAGGAGCTTGGGCTCGGCAGAGATCTCCAGGGCAGCAGTCTGCACCGCCGAGTCATTGGTGACTTGAAGGTCGGCGGGGATGGAAAGGAGATCAGAGAGGCGCGTCTGGTGGATATCCAGTTCCCGAAGCCACTCAATCGTCTCCTCTCGCAAGGCATCCAGGGGCACCCCTGTCTTGGGATCAGACTTTGTCTTCAGGGCCAGGAGAACGGTCAAGTACTTGCGGTGGTCTCCGATCAGAATAGCATTGCTCACGCAGGGCAGTTCTTTTTTGATGAGTTCCTCGATGTGCACGGGAGGAATGTTCTCGCCGCCGGCCGTGATGATCAGCTCCTTGAGTCGTCCCGAAATAATGAGGTTGCCCTTAGAGTCAATGAAGCCCAGGTCGCCAGAGCGCAGCCATCCATCCTCCGTAATGGTCTCTTCAGTCTTTTCCGGAAGCCCCAGGTAGCCCATGAAGTTACTACGTCCCCGCATGATAATCTCGCCCTGGCCATTACAGTCAGGCTCGTGGACCCTTAGATCCAGTCCTTCAATCGCTCTGCCCGCACTGTAGATGTTGCTTATATCCACATTTAGAGTGATGGCCCCCCCACTCTCTGACATTCCGTAGCACTCTCCCAGGGCAATGTCCAAGCCCAGGAAGAACTCCTTCAGCTCATCGGAGGTTGGGGCGCCGCCAGTCAGGAAAACACGACAATTATCCAGACCCATCATTTGATGAATGGGCTTTATTACGCGGGAAGCTAGCCAGTATTTAGCGTTGCCGTAGATTGATGGGGTTTTTCTGAAAATAATCAAAACATTTAATTATAACTCTTATCTAATAATATAGTTGTCTGTAAAATATTATGCTTGAACAAAATGAAACATATTCATGAAAATTTAAGTGTAAAATCTTTAAGAACTTTTGATATTTAATCTCATTTAACTTAACTCCTTAATAATAGATATTATTGGTTGATATTTGGCACTTAAATTCAGTTGTTAAACACTCTTCATTTCTAGAATTTGTACTCACCCCGCCATTATTGTGTTCTGGTGCTCGGTCACTGCAGCCCGAGCCTGAGCCAGCAGAAGCCGGGAATAGGGCTTGGCCTTAGCTTCAGCTGCCACCAATCGCTCCTGGAGCTTCTCAAACACCCGCGGCACTCCGAACAGCTTCGTTGGCCTCGCCTTTTTAAATGTTTTGATCAGGGTACCCTTCAGGGCATCCTTATCCGCAAAAGTGACACAGCCGGCGTGCGACAATCCCAGGAAAACATCGAAGATCTGGGCAGCCACATGGCTCAAGGGCAAGTAGCTCACGAAACTTTCCTTGCCGATATGGACATCCTTCAGCAAATGGGCAGCGGCCTTTGTGTCGAAGATAATATTGTCGTGGGATAGCATTACAGCTTTGGGCAGTCCCACGGTTCCGGACGTGAAAATCAGCATTGCACACTCGTTGGGGCAGATTCGGCTCTCCCGGGCCAGCAGCTCCTCCTTGAGCTCGCTGGGGTAGGTCTTCTCCTGCAGCTTCAGCCAGCTGTAGTAGCCCGGCTCTTGGTCCACGAAGGCCTCGAAGGGTCCGTGGATTTGGATGACTGCCTGGAGCAGGGGAAGCCTATCCTTGATGGCCCTTACTTTGGCCATCTGCTGAGCGTCATCCACCACGACAACGCTGGATTCGCTGGTGACCAACACATGATGCACTGCCTCTGCCGAGTTGCTGGGATAAATTCCAGCCACAACGGCTCCAGCTCGAAAGGTGCCCAGCTCGGCGAAGAACCACTCTGGGCAATTGAAAGCGAGGATGCCCACCGAACTACGCTCCTTCAGGCCAACACTCAGCAACATGAGGGCGGCCTGTTCCACGTTTTCCTGGTACTCGCGGTAGTTCACGGTGGTCCAGCCGTCGACACCGGCTCCAGGGGTCTCCCATGTCAAGGCTGGCAGTTCAGGATACTTCTCGCAGACTTCAGAAAAAAAATGTGGTACCGTCTGGGGTTTGATGCTCTGCGAAAAGGCTCCTCCTTCGTCTAGGCGGAGCTTGACTGCTTCGTGGAGCGAGGTGCTCGTATAACTCGTGGCCGGCTTTAGATCGGTCATGCTTGCTCAGAGGCTGGCGATGAATAAACACGGTCGGCCTCTGGACACGGGTATTTAAGGCCTCGCAGCCCTATGCTGATAAGACAGGCCCATGTACGTACAGCCATATGTGCTCCTAAAAGTGACAGCAGGCAGCGAAGCCGGAGTTCCGACCAGATAGTGACGCAGAACATTCTAAGACGACCTTTGAACGGCTGCAGGGATTTGATTGTAAACAGAATTATGTTTTTCTAATATTTTTGAAAACAAGGAGCATAAACCTTTCCTGGGACTTTAAGGGAACTCACTAAGGTGACAAAAACTTGATGCAATTTTTATAAAACGTATACGCATAATTGGGTTCAATGCATGAAGGTAATAATTGGGTTAGCCTCGGTCATCGCCAATCTCAAAAGTCACCAAATACGATTAGTCAAGAGTCTTGTCTGGGACGCCCTCAGAAACAAAACATATTGACCTATAGACACGCGCTGGATTGGTTTTCAACAGATAAGAGTTCAGTATACGCCGAGACCTGATTACATTGTTCCGTTTGGGCAACAAGTCCATGTGGAGGATGTCGGTTATCGGGGGTCATGGCTTAATACAATTTTGTTGGCCCATTGTTGGATGGCGATAGTAACGAATGAAATCATTTCACTAGTCATTGAGTAATGTTGCTGTGATTTCACAGAGGACCAGACTATTATAGACTTTATGGAAATGCATGGAGGCACACTATGGCCCCCTGCGAAGGCTATATTTCGGTCAATATCCATCAGATTTTTAAGCAGAGTACCTTAAACGATTTCTAGATCGATTCTCCACAAATCTACATCAAAATCCCGGAACAAAATATTTTTTAGATTTTTTGTCATTTTTCTGGGGTGTCCCCTTCAAAATTTCGAAAAATGCATGGAGGCACACTATGGCCCCCTGCGAAGGCTATATCTCGGTCAATATCCATCCGATTCTTAAGCGGAGTACCTTAAACGATTTCTAGATCGATTCTCCATAAATCTACATCAAAAACTGGGAACAAAATATTTTTTAGATTTTTTGTCATTTTTCTGGGGTGTCCACTTCAAAATTCCGAAAAATGCATGGAGGCACACTATGGCCCCCTGCGAAGGCTATATCTCGGTCAATATCCATCCGATTTTTAAGCGGAGTACCTTAAACGATTTCTAGATCGATTCTCCATAAATCTACATCAAAATCTGAGAACAAAATATTTTTTAGATTTTTTGTCATTTTTCTGAGGTGTCCACTTCAAAATTTCGAAAAATGCATGGAGGCACACTATGGCCCCCTGCGAAGGCTATATCTCGGTCAATATCCATCCGATTCTTAGGCGGAGTACCTTAAACGATTTATAGATCGATTCTCCATAATCTACATCAAAATCTGGGAATAAAATATTTTTTAGATTTTTTGTCATTTTTCTGGGGTGTCCCCTTCAAAATTTCGAAAAATGCATGGAGGCACACTATGGCCCCCTACGAAGGCTATATCTCGGTCAATATCCATCCGATTCTTAAGCGGAGTACCTTAAACGATTTCTAGATTTCGATTCTCCATAAATCTACATTAAAAACTATGTTTACTTTTTAAAAGCTGAGACGCAATAAAGCCTCAATTATTGTACTATAATACCTTTATGGAAGTAAAAAGTACAAGCATTTAATTTTCAAGTCAAAGGTTTATAGTGAAATACGTCTAGTTCGACCAAAACAAAACTTTACCTCAGTCCAAAAATCTTTCGAAGTTTTAAGTTTCAAGAATTGCCGTCATAGACATTTTGACACTAAAGCCTTTACGATTACGATTCATGAAAGCATAGTTGACCTTCTGTAGGGGCTCTATGTGACCCAACATAACAGGGACTGACCTACCTCAGGTACTAGAGTTCTTTGGCACTCCGAGGTATGTACTTTCGTACACATAAACGCGAGATAAATGGGTTATCCATGAGAGCCCAGTTACCCATGTGAGTATGCACCAAAAAAAAAACCCATACGCCCCGTGGCCGCCGCCAGGTAATGCAGCTGTATAGTACGGCGGGGAATACCCGGCCCGGAGCTGAGAACCCAGAGCCCTCGCTCCCTGTGGGTCATCCGGGCGCATTAGACGAATGCCATGGCACTGCCACACACATGCTCGCAGCCCTGCACGCACCTCGCTACATAGAAAGGGAAAAAAAAACTTTCACACAGGCCACAAGACAACAACAGAAAATCGCTGTCACCGTCGCCGTCGCAGTCGCAGTTGACGTTGGCGTCTCAGTCGCCGCCGCCGCCGCCGCTGCTGCTGCTGTTGCCAGTGCTACTGGTGATTTGTTTGTTTGCCACTCGCTGCTGGTTGCTGGCCGCCTGTTCGCCCAACAGTCATTTTTTGTACAAATTTATAATTTATTGTTTAATTTATTTTATTGCTAGATGTCAGCCCCCGTCGGAGCAGTGTGGCTGGCGGCCATTTACATACACTGCAATTTATTCGGGGGGCCGGGCGACAAAATAAAATACTATTAACTAAATCGTTAAATTGTTGCACTTGCAGCTTATCTTTTGTTATGCTCGCAACAACAACATTATTATGAAATTATTTACCAATGAACAGCAGCTCATGAATCGCTAACAAGTGCTGCCATTGTCAGCGCCCTGACCGTCGGCCGTGCCGGGCGGCAGGGGGTATTATTGCATCAAAACTACAACGCAAATAGTTGCAATATTCTGTGTTCCTTGTTTGTTCTTTTTATTTGTCTCGTAACTATATAACTATATATGTGTTTTCGGTGGGGTGTGAGTGCGCTTCTGATATGTGTAACGGTACATGGGAATTATATCGGCCAGGGCAAGAAAAATATAAAAATCGGAATATATATACAATGTAAGCGGGCAGGGGGAAGTGTAACTGCTTGTGTTGTATGTACAGGAGGCGTTAGAGTGGGCAGGGCGGCATAGGAAGAGCTTACTTTAAATGCCAACTGGCAATAGGCTATGGGAGTGGAACTGACATTGAATCCAAACATGAAACACCTTTAGGGTGGGCTTATCAATAATAATAACAAAATATTTTTTCATGTTTATCTTTAGTTTAGTTTACAATTGGATCCTTTTCCTTTAGACATTATAAACAATAACTTCTTTCTGTGGTCTAACTAAAATCCTAAGTATAGAAAGCCCAATAACCATGTCCTTTCTATCAAAAACCCTGACTAAGCATCACCACTAAGCATGTCCAGCCTAAATGCATTGACAGATTGTTGTCCGAAGCATCTGAAATGGGACATTGAGCAGACCGACCGGCCCACTCGGCGGATACATGATACAGAGCCAAGGCAATCTGCCATATCTTCGGCTATGAGCACTGACTCTAGCTCGATGAGGACCATTAAGGGAATGGGCAACCGATATGGAAGCCCTAAATCGGTCCTGCATGTGTTACAATATGCTTTCTGTACATATTTACACGCACATTGAGTGACCTAATGTGTGGTACGAGGGGGAAAGTGGGCGTGGCAGTAAAGGCAGACTGGGAGCCAGGGAGCTGGGGCGGAGCATGTCTGTGACTTTTGTAGATTTGTTTGTGTACATATAGATATAGCAAAAGCACCCGGCGCACAGCATTGATTAGCAGGCGTGAAAGAGCCGAAGCCAAAGCGAAAAGTTCATGCGAGCAAGTGAGCCAAACAACAGCAATAGCAACCACAGCAGACAACAAACAAGTACACACAACAATAAGGAGGAAACACATTCGAGCACATACAAAAAAGCGATATACACACACTCACACATACAAAACTACTAGAAGGTGGTGGGGCGACCGGCCTGGGAGGGGAGGTACAGATAAACAGCATTTATATTCATGTACCCACAGCAACAGCAACAACAACAACACATCGCAGACATAAAAAGCGAAACGAAAATCAAATAACATGTGTACATATTGACAAACAAGCGACGGCCGCGTACAAGCAGTCGTTTATACGTACAAGCGATGTACGAGTAGTACGAATATGTACATACATACCACGTATGTAGGTATGCAGCGCCTTCGCCCAGGCACCTCCCCCTTTTTGCCCAACCGCCCCCCAGCCACCTAGGAGTCTGCAACTCATTCAAACTCATTTCTACACAAGCATATCAGCTGGGGTTGTCGCTGCTCTTTGCTCTTGCTCTTTCTCTTTCTCTAGCTCTAGCGCCTGGCTCTTGCCGGCTCGTTCTGGTCCCCATCTCGCTTGCTCCCCAGACCCCAGGCGCTGACCAGTCGTCCATCCACATAAGTAGCAATTACAATAGCAACCGGTATTTAAAACGGTTATCGGTTCTCATCTAAGCACGATAGGTTGCGATCATAAGTCATTATAATACCCTATTAGCCTAGTACCCTAATACCCTAAGAATTCTACGATAAAATTTTTTAAAATTTACTAGAGTTTTTTTGAAAAGAATACCTATTTTTCCTCCAACTTTGGTTCTTAAACTAGAAACCACCAGAAAAAGCAAGCTCATCAGAAACTAAAAAAAAATATTAATAAAATAAAATAAAATAAAAGTCTGCTGTTGTCCCCCTTTTCGATTTTGTCATCAGCAGTGGCAAAAGTTCAAATCGAGTGCAACTGACTGATAAGTTCCAGAACCTGATCGATTCGATTCAGACATTATAGTCATCATTACTGTCACTATCATCGGTGACAGCTTTTCACAGTCCATGACCGAATAATCGGTTACGCGTCGATTGTGAAGTAATACCTTCTATACTATGTACCTCTTCACGCCGTTCACGCTCGATTCCCACTGAGGTTTCTTTTCAAGGCTCGCTACTTGTTTTCAATGATTCCGAGATTTTGCTTTCGTCATTGTTGATCAGTGGAAAATTCTGAAGGCACTCTTCGATTAATCGTGGCAGATTCTGCCGTAAGCTCTGGACTCGGTCATGGAAGCTATCTCATGATCGACGCATTTTCTTCAAGTGGAGCAGAACGCTTTTCTTTTGCTTGCAGAAGCTGTCTAGCCGTCCCATCCTATGACACTGGGTGTCACTTCCATACTATGACATTTCCATAGTTTCCTGTAAAGTCTGACATACATTCCTGACATTCCTGTATGTACTTATGTAAGTAAAAAGAAGATTAAAGACCCACATCTTAATATTTTAAGACATATGTATGTATGTTTGCATAAATATTGGAAGATTAAAGACCCACATCTTCATATTTTTGGGCATGTAATTATTACACAAATACGATAAATACTGGAATTATATATAGAAAAATATTTACATCTATCTTTGTATAAAAGCAAAGAAAAATCAAATGTTTAGTAAGAAAATATGAAAAAATAAAAAAGCTGGTGAATTGGAGCCAAAATATGCAATATACAAAAACAGAGTAAGTCTAATAGGTTTTTTTTTTTTGGTTCTATCAATATATGTACATTAGTATATATTTCATTCAATTAGAAAAATACTACAAAAATCTGGTAAAAGCTCTAAAAAAATTACTAAACTCAGCTTTAATATTAGAAAAACAAATTGCTTAGAACTTAAATATTAAAATAACATTAAATTAGTCTACAATTTTGTTTCCCAATGTAAATTCAAAAACTATAAAATTATCAAAAGAATAGAAAAGTTTAAAAATTTTGTTTCAAAAATTATGAGAAACTTTAAGAGAGCATATTTTCTCAAAAACGCCTTTCTAGGCTTTCTTCTAAGTATTCAGCAACCTTAAATTTTTGTTGTAAGCACAAAAAATAACATATTTTTTTCATTGAAAAACGTGCACTCATTTTTCATCCCGCCACTGTGTGCAATGCAATGTACTAAGCTTGCTTGAAAGCCCCGCGATAATCAAATACAACAACAAATTAAGTTGCGCTGCTCCGATGGTTGGCGTGCCGACAAGCAGTTTCCCCGGGTGCAGCTACATACGTCATCACAACACCATCATCAGAGCGAAGCTTACGGATTGGCATGTGAACAGGTCGCACTGCCTACATGGGTCTGATGCAGTCCCCGCCAAGCTTTGCATATTTAAATAAGCCTGCATATTACGTTTCATTTTCATTCCATTTCTGGTTTCGGCTTTCGCGATGCCCCTGCCTGCTATTGCTGCTCATTACATACAAACGGCACTTGGCATGTAGATAGACAACGAACGGGTATGTAAACATGTGTACGTTACATACCTACGAATTTGTGAGAACGTCGTCTGTTACCGTTTTAGCTTTCATGGGGTAGCATTAACGGCCCCCACCGCCCGCCTCCCCTTCTACACACACACAATACACTGGGAGCAACAACAACATCGGAGCATTGCACACTACACACACGCTTTTCTGGCTCGGCTCGGCCTGCTAATCGCTTCTGCTCGCCTGCTGGCTGCTTATGTTTATTTGTATATATCGAGCAACACAAACGCACGCAGCCCATATGCAAAGCTATACGATACTACCCCGTACGCCAAACGGCAAACGATACGATTCCATGGCTGCTGCCCCCCGCCGGAAACCATCCGCAGCCATCAGTGTTCGGCCAGCAGACGAGCACGTGTCTGGATGTCTGCACTTGGAAAACAAAACTTTTCATCTTTTCTAATTAGAATTTTGGCTTTAAATTAGTAGAATTTCAAATTTAGGATTGTTTTTGATCAAAAACAATAAGCGTTTTAGCGTAAAACGCAAACTTTTGAAATCACCAAACTTTTTCTCCAAGTGCCTTTATATTAATGGCTACATACAAAGCCGACGTCTATACCAGTATGTTAGTAAACAACTAAGCATGTACGTAAGTTTATTGTCAGAACCAGTTAAGAAACGCTTAGCTGTTCTTGGGCAGGCTAAGATTCTCCAGGCTCGACAATATAGAAAAAGATACTGCTTTGATTCTAAACCTTTATTAATAACTGCATCAAATTAATTCCTAGCATAATGTTTAATGGTATTTCACAAATGATTCAATATTTTTAAGAAAGAATTTTTTAAAGATTCCGGCATGCGCTCGAACGATCTTGGGGATCTTGTCGTGACGATCTTGGCGCTGAAAAGCTTAGACAAGAACCACGAACTTGTTCGATCCGAGGCGAACTCTCCACTCTCCAAATGGTCGCCTCGGTACATTTCCAATGCCTGGTGATAAGAATGGCGGGCGATGCAAAAAGAAATAATAATAATAAGGGACCGACAGACTTAATTATCGTATGACAGAAAAAAGCCTGCGAGCGGCACGATGATCCACACTTGAAGAAAAAATGTCCTGAATAACCATGAATTACTTATTACTGTACTTTGCATTAAACATAAAATATGCTTACGTAATTAATAGTTACTAAAGGACATTGTGATGAAGTCTCCAAGAAAACTCAATCATAAACCCTGTTTTTGTTTTTCTGAGTGGAAAATAAACAAAAGAATCGGAGCGGCTTTCACTTTAATCTGAGGCCACTGCGTTTAGTGCACTTGCAGCGGCGTACGCACAATCTCGAGCCCAGCCCCAAGAGAATCCGGATCTGCAAGATGCTCCTCCAAGTTCTGTGCACGGTTGTGGGTGTCATGCTGATCGCAGGAACTCAGCTGCCTGTTCAGGGTCTGGCCATTACCAACGGACACTGCCAGAAGAACATCAGTGTCAAGTACCAGGTGCCAGTGACCAAGAACCGAGTCCTAGGCTCCGAAAATGCCGACAACTATGTAGTATTCGAGGAGCGGGTGCGTTGGGACAACATCCAGGTGTGCTGCCCAGGCTATCGCACCATCCTGTTCGGATTCTGTGAGCCCGTCTGTCAGGAGCCCTGCCCCATGCACAGCTACTGCGCCGAGCCGGACCGCTGCCACTGCCTGCGCGGCTATGAGCCCTCTCACCTCCACCAGCAGCCCGTGCATCGACACCACCAACTCACCTGCCGCCCGGTCTGCCAGGGCGGATGTCCGGAGCACAGCAACTGCGTGGCCCACAACGAGTGCCAGTGCCGTCCGGGCTTCAGGGACGCCAGCAGCTGGTTCAGCCTCAGTCTGCGCTGCGAAAGGATACAGTGCGGCCACGAACAGCGCTTCGATCCTGTCCGACGAGCCTGTGTCCAGATTGAAATGAGCATGGAAGAGCTGATGCAGCGTGTCGCCGACCGGTTGGCCAAGGGACTGGAGACGGAGTCCACCACCGAGCCGGAGGAGCCGTAGGTTGAAGTATTCTAAGATTTCCATTTCATTCTATGCCTTTTAAATCGCCCCAAAGTGTATCTATTTAATTTTTATGTAAGAAATCTTTAAGTTGGATATTGAATCCAAAGTAAAGTGCAAATTTTTGAGGGATCCTAAATAAAAACAAATACTTATTCTCCCAAATGCAAACAGTTAGTGTATAAAATAAATCTTGTTTAAAATTTTCGAAACCCTTATTTCCTTGAAAATCTTACATTTTTTATATTTTTGATACAAATTTATTGTCGCTCTTCAGGCAATAAACAACTCGCTTCAGTCGGTACAACCAACCAGCATACACTTTATCATTAAATATTAGAAACTAATTAAAAGATCTCTGGATCCGATCGGGGCAAGCTAATGTCTAACTCGGCAAGCAGCGCCTTCGTTCTAAGTATAATATCCAAAAGTTAACATCAGCCTATTTCCTAATTGTAGTGGCACTCAATGGCTTGAAAGTCCGTTAAATTCAATTTCACATTAAAGCTCAAATTCGTCTACCGGCTATATCATCTCCTCTCAAATCCGGTCCTCAAATCGGGAATATCCTAGGCATAGAGGGCCTCAATCTCGTCGGCGTACATCTTGGCCACTACGCTGCGCTTGACCTTCAGTGTGGGGCCCAGCTCGCCGGTGGGAATGGAGAAGTCGTGCTTCAGGATGGCGAACTTCTGAACCTTTTGGGCGTTGGAGATGGAGTATTTGTTGGCGCGCTTGATTCCGTCCTCGATGGACTTCCACACCTTGGGGCAGGGTCCGGCGGCGAGGATCTCCGAAACGGTTTTGTACTCAACTCCCAACGACTTGACCCACACGGAGGACTCGTGGCTCAGCTCGTCCAGAGGGGCACCAGTGTCCTTATCAACTTCCGTCTGCAAAATAAATTGAATTATGTAGTTTTTGTTTTTATCCCTTTACCCTTTGCACTAAACTTACCTTAATGGTAACCAGCACAGTCAAATATTTTCGCTGCTCTCCGACCAAAAACACACTGGAGATGCCGTCGAGCTCCTTCTTGATCGTGTTTTCGATGTGTACGGGCGGAATGTTCTCGCCTCCGGCTGTGATGATGATCTCCTTGGAACGTCCTGTCAGCGAAACGTAACCTTTGTCATCCACAAAGCCCAGGTCACCGGAGTGCAACCAGCACTCATCATCAAGGGCCTCCTCGGTCTTCTCCTTGTTGTCGATGTATCCCATGAACACGTGACGTCCACGGATGCAGAGTTCGCCGTGGCCATTGCTATCCTTGTTGATGAACTTGGTCTCGCAGCCGGGAAGAGTCTTTCCAATGGAGCTGAGCGTGACAGAGTCCGGCAGGCAGATGGTGTGGCATCCGGCCGTCTCCGACATGCCGAAGGCATCTATGATCTTCAGGTCCAGGCTGAGGAAGTATTTTTTCGTCTCTGGCGACATGGGGGCAGCGGCACTGGCCAGGGTTAGTGCCCGGTCGAGACCAAGGGCCTCCTTTACCTTGGACAGGATGAGCGACTTGGCAATTTTGTAGCGGAAGCCACCGGTGTTCTTGCTGCGAAAAGTTGCGGGCAAAAGTTTAATTAGCTTTGTTGACTGATGAGTTTTTGTTGAAGGCCGACTTTGTGGGAGCGCAGAGGGAGTGTTTGGCCGTTGTTGGCTGTGGAACTTGCGAATTAAAAGCCTCTCAATAAATATGCATATGTTGATTAAAAATTGCAGCGTTTCTAATTACTACTACCTGTAGCTACGACACAACTTTTTAATGTCAAGTTTATGTAACCTTAGTAAGGAATCATTTTATGTTAAAGCCATCGATTCTTTCCCTAAACTTTCGCAAAAATTAAAACCTTCTCTTTCGTTAGCTCCTGTAGCTGGCAGCCGGATGGCTTTTCTAATGCTTCAATCACAGCTCAAGTATTTGCACATGAAAAGCCTCCCCATGACCACCCTCCCAGGACGTTTCTAGGACGTGCTTGCATGTTTCTGGTCCCATTCGATGGTACAGCCAAAAGAAGGAGCATCAGGAGTTTCAGCTTCGGGAGCTAGCTGCCTGCGTGTTCCCCGTGACGTATGAGTAATGTTGTTGTCAGTGATTTTCGCTTAAACCAGAGCAGCGAATAGCTGGCGGAGCGAAGAGCGCTGCCGGGCTGCTTGGCTTGCATAATTTAGCGGGCACCGAAACACAGCTCAGGCTCAGGCACACTTACAAGCACACACTCGGACTCAAAGGATGCCAGGGACTTAGCCTCCTCGGCCATCAGCGGGCTGGCCAAAGAGCAGGCTGAGGTTGGGGCATGAAAAATGCAGGAGGAGGAAAAGCGGCTCTGGAGAAGGAAAGGAATTCTGTCGCTGCAGCCACTTTAACCGTGCATCCTTTTTGCATAATTTATGCGCACACAAAGTCGGAGTTGAAGTATTTGGCCAGGGGCCGGGCAGGGGCAGGGGTCCATTGGTTCATCGGGGAATACTTACCCTTGACTCACCATGTAGTGCTTCAGCGTGATGCCCTTGGCCCAGCCTGCGAGCATCTTCTTCAGGCTACCGCTCGAGCTGGCCACGGCCACCATGCGCTCCTGGAACTTCTCGTAGACACGGGGCACGCCCATGAAGCGCGTGGGTCGTCCATCCTGCAGTGACTTTACCAGCGTTCCCTTCAGGGCGTCCTTGTCGGCGAACCAGATACAGCCGGCCACATATGCGCACGTGTAGATGTCCACCGTCTGGGCGGCCACGTGCGACAGTGGTAGGTAGGACACCATCGACTCCTCACCGACCACCACCCGGTCCATCGCCTTCACGATGCCACGCACATCGAAGGTGATGTTGTCGTGGGACAGCATTACGCCCTTGGGCATGCCCACCGTGCCGGAGGTGTACACCAGGCAGCAGCACTCGTTGATGGCGATGTTCTCCAGGCGGGTCTTGAACTGATCCTCCACGTCGGCCACGTTCATGGACTCGATCTCCGACCACTACAAAAGTAAGTTTTATGTATAAGAATCTCAGCACTCAAGTAATAATTCCTACTCACCCTATAGTATCCATCCTCCTTCTTCAGGTAGGGAGCATAGGGCTCCTGGATCTGAATGGCCGCCTTCAGCTTCGGCAGCTTGTCGCGGATCGAGTGAATCTTCTCCATCTGCTTGGCGTCGTCGACGATCACAATCTGGGCGTGCGAGCTCTCCAGGACGTGTTGCACTGCGTCCGCGGAGTTGGTGGTGTAGATGCCGGCGATGATGCCCCGTGCATGGATGGCGCCCATGGCCGAGTAGAACCACTCGGCGCAGTTGAAGGCCAGTACACCCACCGAGTGGTGCTCCTCCAGGCCGAGCTTGATGAAGGCCTTCGCCACCTGGTGCACCTTCTGTTCATATTGTCTGCGGGGGCCGGATAATCGGATTGAGTGATAATTGCATTTGGAGCAGGGAAAATTGGAAATTGGCCAGCAATTCGATTAGCGGTACTCACTTGTAGGTGACTGTGTGATAGCCGTTTTTTCCGTTCTTGGTGCGCAGGGCCGGATAGTCGGGGTAGTTGTTGACGGTGCGCTTCAGGAGACCGGGCACCGAGATGGGCTCCTCGGCGCCAATCCCCTCCTTGGCCAGCCGAATCTTGACGGCGTCTTCGCGGTTTGTGGTGCGGTAGGCATCCGCCTGCCTCAGGCGATTTGGGCCTGGACGATTGTAGAGCGCATCGGTGGCGGACATTGTGGCGTCGGGTTATGTCTGTACAGTCTGAAATCGAGTAGTGGGAGGACCAATTAGTTACCTAAGACCAGTTATTATTAAAAAGGGAAAATTCTTAAAGAGGTATGGGTTTGCCAAGAACTCATTCATGGATTAGAACGTAAAATGCAAAGCTAGCAATGCACCGGGTTTCCGTGTTTACAAAAATGTTGATAACCTTGCCGAGTATTTGCAATATATTTCAAATACATGCAACTAAAAATCAAGCTTTATAATCGAGCTTATAATCACTTGCATTTCTTGCTGAATAGCAGGGCAAACTATTTGTTTAATGAATTCCATTGCAACAGCTTAAAATGAAAATATTACTAAAAAAAAGTTTAATCTTTTGAAAATTGTGTCTTCAACTAGTTTTGGGGTTATTAACTTGGGAGGGCCCACCGGAATCGTACGATCTACAAGTGTGGTATATGCGTATTAAGATAACGCAGGCACTCTGGCAGGCCAATGTCATGGCTTCCGTTCTGCGAGGGTTCTTATCTAACACCGCCTATGACTTAACACCTGATTAAAAATTGATATCCCAAAAATTCCAGCTCGTATATACATAGCAGTCTTAAAGCCAATAAAACTGAAACTGAAGAGATTTAAGACATTTGGCGTCCATTCAGAAGATCGTTCTCATACTCTACAGTATATAGTTATTAAAGTTATACCATTTAATGACTTTTAATTCCCCTTCTTATCATTTCGGGTATCTCAGAAGTCGCTGGTCAACAGTGGTAAGTTTCTTCAATGGGTTTATTTTCCTGGTACAAAGGCCAATAATATCGATATCTACAATAATGTTTGCATGTTTTACTTTCCAGTTTTCATCGCTCTTTTATTAATCAATAAATTCTGGCCAACTTGGCAACGATAAGACCCAAAATAAATGGCAAGTAACTTTGGAAATTACGAATGAAAAAACCAAACAGCTGACATAACACAGAAGTCCAAAGGGTCAGCCTATAAATTATCGCTTTCGAGTCGAAACAAATACATAATAATTATTAGCAAAGTTTTCTATTTTACCGAGATCCGATAGTGATTATAAAGGATTGATTGACATGGACAGGTATGTACATATGATTGACGTGCAAATTGTGCTGTAAAATAGTATGATTACACGGAAACGCCCATGGGCCAAGTACTACTTGGTTAATGGGAAGACGTCTTTTTGAGCATCCTAATGTACTTGTAGGAGGAACTACTTCCAGCCAGACATGAAATCATTAATCATAGCGAAGGAAATCGCGGTCTTTTCGGGCTGATAATACACGAACTGTCACGCAATCAATGCATGATAATATAAACATAAATAATTTGTGCTATAAAACATATAATTTTACAGCCCAATCGAGGTATGAAAGTTTATCTTTTTCGGAATAACTCACGGGTGGATGTAAGAGCTACAAAACCCAACCAAACAAGATATCCTTAACTCAAAGAGCTTAATGATTTTGATTTTTAATATAAAATAATATGATTATTCGAAAAACTGAACTAAAATATAACCATGTATCGATGAGAAATATTTCCGCGTTTGTCATCTGCATATGATCTGTTTGGGATCCACGCCAAAAGACGCACCGAGAACATTTCTTGCGGCACTCGAAACTGCGTATAAAAACAAAACTGATAATAGGCCACAGCATCTAAAAATATTTGTCAACTATTCCACGATTCGGCTGGCTCTCTAGCCCCACAGCACCTATCCCTCGAGTCAAGACCCCGGAGAGATCAAAAGACGTTTCGAAAGTGTGTGTCGAAATTGTGTGTGGACCGAGAGAGTAATCGAAAAAGAACGAAGACAGGCCATTCTATCGTCTAATCGTGATGTAAAAGAGGGCTCGATTGGGGGAATTGGGCAAACGAAGGTGAAGAAGTGCGGCGAATTGAGACCGGCGATCAGGCGATATGACAATGAACCCACCGAAAAAGTGCACTGACCCACAAAATAGATTTGGACAAAACAATCGCACGTGTTGGACGGAAGTCACTGACGCACTTGCTACCCGAAAACAAATGAGGCTTCCTCCACTTTCCCACCTGGACTTGGGTTGGAAAACTTACACAGTCAACTATTTAAACTTCGATATTAATTCTTTGCAAATTATTGGGGATCGCGTATCGATTGCGGTCAGGTTCTCCCACTTTGGCGCTCGAGACACGACAGAACAAACGACCGAAGGCAGTGAGGGCTAGGCGTGAACTGAACGCCGATCAGGATCGGATGCTATAGAAAAGTCTCGGCATTAGCGTCGGCGTCGGCATTAGCCCCGTCAGCGCCAATGTCGATATGGGGGCTGCTACCTGCTGGCGGCGTCTTATCAGCAGCATTTGGCTCAAAAACGAGCCATAAAAAAGTTCAAGTGAAACAAAAAATCTCTTGCTTTTGTGCGACACTGGAATAGTGGTCTTATCGACAAGCCAATGTGGGAATTATTACTGTTCAGTTTTATATTCGGAGAGATCGGGTTTCTCGGACTTGATAAATCTAATCATAAGTATTGGGGCGTTGAACAGCTCGGGGTCCTTCTTTTATTCGAGTTTAAGGATAGGGGTTCCACAAAGTATAGATAAGAATATTAGAAAGCATATAGGAAAATTTTCACACTTAGGGGATAGACTGTGCACTCATAAATATAAAATAATACAAACGGAAAATGAATAATCTGATTTTTCTTACTACAGAACTGATAACCCCAAGAACCTGAAACTAATGAGTCTAAAAATTACGCATTAAACCAAATTATGAAATGTTGCGAAGTGTTCTTATCACAATTGTGGTACTGTTTGGAACTAAAGGAAACCCAAACAAATATTAGTGTCATTTCGGTGAGGAAAATATTTTGAATAAAAAAAAAAACGTATGATTAAAATCCAGGTGTTCACTTAAACCTTGATTGCTCATAGGTATGACCAAGCCAAGCCCTTTTGATTTTTGGGACTAAAGATAAACCATTTAATTAATTTTTGACTAACAGCTGATCTTCTATAGTGTCATCAAAATAAATAGAATTACCGCGAATATTGGCATGATAATGGATGAATGATTCACAAAAATTAGCTAAATATTTAGTAAATTATTCAAGAGTTTGATAAACGCAATTATCGGCAAATATGAGGGCTATATAAACAATACGCCGAATCGCCTATCGACCTGCGCTGTTGCCAATGGGTGGCATTTTTGGGGTTTGTATAACTCTTATCGAACTACACAAGTTGCAAAATACTTTACGATCTGATAAATACTAAGCACTTGACCACCAGTTGAAGGCCATTAAACTGCTGTCAGTGTAAATAAGGCGGCGATTCCTTTTAAAATTTATGCCGGAGCCATTGACATATTATAGTTCCACCCGTCTAAAGGTTGAACTTTACCGAAAGAACTGTTTTGGAACAGTCATCCTTTCCACACAATCGTGATTATCCCCGATTAGATTAGTTCAGGGCTCATATAAATCAGAATGCTGGGATCACCCTGATTAAAATGTCTATGGCCTGTTGGGATTATCTTTACACAAATCAATGTCGGCTAATCAGGCATTGTAATCCTCCATTATGCCCGGAGATTTGATTACCCGCAGATTGTGTTCCATGACAGATTATAAAGAAAAGTTGTTCTGTTAGGTGCAGCCTTATCACAAAAATGCTAGCCCCTGTGCGTTTATATTTTGGGAATTATTTTTAAAACATTCCCATGTTCGCATTTTGGCTGTTATCAGGCAGCGAAAGCGTGTCCGTGGAATCGCGTGGCAGCCGGCAGCCCCGAGTGCAGGTTTTCACCTGCGGGTCATTTCGTTTCCAATTTCAGATAGTCCCTATCGCCGAAAGGCATATATATGAAAATCCATACATAATAACATAATTTTTGAAATTAAAATGTTTATTTTGATTAATATGTAGTATTTTTTTTAAGTTTAAAATACATCAAACATTGAACATTAAAATATATTAAAATATAACACATTATTAACATGTTTATTATTAAAAAAAATATATATATCATTATTTAGAAAAGATCATAATTGTTACCCGTGAAGATGTATGTATATACAATCTGTATAGATTCATTACACCGAAAACTAACAATAAAAAAAAAAAATAAATATATAATGTTTTAAAAAGTTTTTTTTTTCACATTATTCCAATGATTTTTTTCTTATAGGTCCAACAACAAATATTTACATATATTCTTCAAAATTCTTAAATTAAGGTAAACAGAATTGTAAGACTCTTTTGAATACTTATTAGACAAACTGTGAAAGCTTAAAAAAGCTTCTCCAATATTTATCAAAGCTTGCAACCAATTTTCAAACTTACCAACTTACCGGAGCTAAAAGCTATCTGATTGCAAGGTGATGATTCTCTCTAGAAAAGTATCTCGTTACTTTTGATGAGTAGAAGTATAAATGCAGTAGCAGAAAAGTCTACTTACAGTAGAAGTAGAAATGAAATAAAGTCAACCCCATCGCAGGAGCGGGAAGGGGCTAATGCAATTGTATTCCGATACGGTATTTATATCCCAACATCAGAATGGAGCATAAAGTGAGCATCTATCATTGAACTGTCTCCCGGACTTTATGCGCGCTTATATGACAACATAACCCGACGAGCTCTGATTTCGATGTCATGTTAATGAGATTGTCATCATCAAAGTTGGCATCGAATTACGTTCGCCTGAGCTGCACAAAGTTCCACTTATTTACCTCCACCGCCCCCACTAAACGCATGCAAATGATGTGATAATAATGTCGGTGGGGCAACTGAATCGGGAGCATACTACCCCTAAATACACATACATACATATGGAGGTTTAAATATGTTCGTATAAATACCATGAGAGTCTGGGTAAAAATAATACTTAAACCCATTTAAACAGTAGGTAAGCAAGACAATGAACGTGTGCTGGCATTTTAACAAGAGTTTCGGCGAAAGGGGTATTGGGGGCGTTAGCATAACAAGTGTTTGGCTAATAAGCTTCACTTAATCGTGCGACACCAGAAAGCCATCTCAGACAAATGAAAGTGAACTGCATATAATTGAGATGAAACGCCCCGAAAAATAAACAACCAAACAAAGAATCTGAAAGTCCAAGGACTATTATTAGTCCTTGACTAGAGAAATTACTTTAAGAAAGTTAAAGAACGCAAATAAGTTTGTGTTTAAAATGAGGTATCTAATGAGTATATTTATGAATTAAATTATATAAATATTCATGTTTTTAATTTACATATTAAGCCTTCAATATATGTACATATTCCTGCTCTTCTCATCCGGTTCTATGGTGTAATGGTTAGCACTTTGGACTCTGAATGCAGCGATCCTAGTTCAAATCTCGGTAGAACCTTAAATTATTTTTAAAATTTTTATATATTTTCTACATGTTTTTTTTTTTTTTAGAAATTTATCATTTGATGTAAAATCTCTGTTAGATGTATAAAGCCAATTCTGGCACTGCTGTCTTTGGCCAGTAAATTTCCTATTTCAATTTTACAGCAAACCTTCAACGTACAATCAAAGCACCAAACAAACCAGCCAGAGCAGAGACCGACAGACAGACAGTTGCATTTGCATATGTATGAGGACTTGTCTGTGTTTCAGTTTCAGTTACTGCTCCTGTTATTTCCTTTTAGCTTTAACTGCACCAAATAGTTTTGGGTCTCCAATAAAACGGCATTGGCCATAAAAAGTGGCAACTCATTTCGCGCTGAAAGATACGAAATGCCTGAAAGCCAAACAATTGAAAACTCGGAGCTTTTTCATTAGCCTCTTTGGTTGCCAACTTTGGCTTCAACAACATTGTTTTGAATAATTTGTCAGCTTAAAGTTTTTGGGAAACATGAATAGAACCTCGAAGATACTCGTTCAACCGCATCGAGGCAAAAGTATCTATCAGATGCGACCAGCTACGCGGGTGAACACTTGACTTTAGCCGACACTAAGCTGACCGTTATGGGCGTTTAACTAGCAGAATAGTCAGACAGTCAGGAAAATGAATTTTGTGGCAGTAGAAGGGGCTTTAGATTGCCAGGCCAATAAATTTGTTTTGTCCTTTCCTCTAACTTAAAATTAGCTCTAATATAAATTATGTACTTGACTCACTCTACTCAATCTCTTAAATTTGTTCCTTCCAGAGACCTTTGACCTGGACTCTGAAAGCAGAGCCCCTACAAGGCAAAAACGGCATTAGCCAATATGAATGACTGCTAATAATAGAACTCGAAGGGGACCCTAATCAATAATCGATATTTGACAAATTGCGCAACAATTGCAACACTGCCTAGCTTTAATTTTCTGGCCCGAGTGCTGACAAGTTGAGAGCTAATTAATTGAATTTGTTAAACTTGAGAGCTTGGCCACTTGACCAGTAGTCGGTGGCCCAGCTGCAGCCCCACTCCTTCGACTCGCCGGTTCGCTTGTCAAATTTCAATAATTTAGCACCCGAGCTGTCCCAGACAGAAAATGTAGTGGCTGTCACGATAAGCCAGACAAGCGACAAAGACGAACATTTTACAGCAAATTTTCTTAACCCCTTTTGCTGAACTTGTTTTGGAGATAGCTGTGCAGGATGTTAAGGGCGGAGGCGTGGTGGCCATGCTAGGTGGAAAACTGTTAACGTAAAACTAAACGAGATTCGTCTCGTGGCGTTTGTTCAACGCGCTTCGTTGACTCGCTCCCACATAAAAATGCCCCAAAAATTTTGTTGATTGCATTTAATACGTCGAGTGGAATTGTTATGACTTTTCCCATTCACCTCTCCTGCCTGATGCAATGAAATGTGAGCATTCGCGGTACACATTAGAGCCAGAATAGGTCAAACATCACATGGATTATTAAATTTAATGTGCGCTAATGTGCCAACGCGACAGTTGCACTTAATGATGGAATGGATTTATGGCCGATAGGGGATGAGATTGATTTCCAAGTTTCAGAGCAAAAAAGTCAAAGAGAATTATGTTTTTTAAATTAACTTTGTTTACAAAACTAGTTGTCTATCTTGAACTAGTCTAAACAATTTTTATTTATAGTCAAAAACTTAAATTTAATTTAAAAAAACGTAGTAATATCTGATCATGGCTTTCCGGAGCCCGCATACAACGTTCTCATTACTTTGACCGATGTCTGGTGGATGTCCTCCTTCAAAGAGCTTAGTTTACTGCCATCCTCATCATCATCCTTTTGAGCAAGAGTTCTCTTAAAAGCCTGGCAAAAACTACAATCTACCAATAATGACTCGGATTTGGTACACTGCGATGTTGTGCATAATGTGCATGCCTGTAAATTTTCCTCTCTGCGAGGCTTGCTTGGAACGGACTTATCCTCTGGTATCGGCTCTTCAGTAACGGGAGATTTTGATCTGGGTGTCGTTAGCGCAGACTCCCCAGGATTTTCATTCACATTTTCTTGAAGATTTATATCAATACACGAAGCTTCTTTGCTTGGCGACCTGGACGGCGTAAGGGGGGCTTGTGTTCCATTTACCTCCCCTTGTAGCTCTCTTATGGGAGGTACGACTTCCATCTCGTTTGGGTTACTTATAGCCATGTTGGCAAAACTATCGATGGCATAAACTAGAAGTTCTTCCGGATAAGGATGTAAAAAATATAACAAGTTCCTATGAATGAAACACACGGCATTAGTGCTACATGTTACCGTCCAAGCGAGGACTTTAAAAAGAGCGATGAGGGAGCAACTAATCATTTCAATAGGGCGGTCCATAAATAGCATAAACCCAATCTCTGTGAGAAGGCTAAACATATTTTTTCGCTTAGAATTGTTCTCCTCCTTATATTTGCTTGAATATTCGTCACATAGTTGCATAATCCTTATAACGTCCGGTCTCCGTAGCAGTTCCTGGATTTTAATTGATTCCTTCACGTTCTCATTTTTGGCTAAAGCTTCTAAAAATGTTTCCTTAAGCTGCATTACGTCCGGGCTCCGTAGCAGTTCCTCGATTTCAGGGGGTCTATAGATAATAGACGTCTCTTCGGTTGTATTCTTACCTATTGAATTTAAAATTTTAATTACTCTTTATATCTAAATCCAGATTTACTAACCCGGCTCGGATAAAGCATTTTCCAAAGAATCGGTCTTGTGACACCTATCGTTTCTTTCATAGTTGAGAGGTTGTTGGCAGGACATTGTTCTCTCGTATCAAAGGTCCCGCTAGATAATGGATTTGACAAAAAAAAAGCACAGAATTTACTGTGCCGTGTGGAAAAATACTAATTTTCACAAATATCCAAAGGGTTATATGAAAGACAGGAATTTAAGTGAAACTGAACCGCCTGAACTTGGACAGACATTTGTTTCTAGGCCGCCTTGTGTTCTCGATTCCATATTTCCTGCCAAGAAATTTTGCATTCAACTTTGACCAAATGCGTTCGACATTGTCCGATCTGATGACAGCCACAATTCCATTCATTTTGCATAAAAAAAACATTTGACTGCAGATGGACCCTCCAGCTCCAGTTCTTATCGCTTTTCATCGCTCCAGCTCGGTCCGATATTTGTGTTTTTCTTTTTGTTCAAATTGATAAATCGCGCCGATTTTTTTGATGATTCGTTTTTATGAAACAAATATGCGAACCGTCGAAAAAGTTTTTATAGAATGAAACAAAGGCCGAACAACAGAAACAAAGTGCAACCATTCTCTTAAAACATGAGTGCACCACCTACTCTTTGCAGCTGGGGAGTGAATTGTGCATAAAAAATGGTTGGACGATTTCCGAAAAAATTTAATGTGATTGCACAACTTTATCCTTTATATCCTGAACAGGACTGACTTTATTAAGAGTCATAATTTTAATTCTTTAATTTATCTTTGGTCTTTAAATCTATTGAAGCTAAAGTACTGGTACTTAAAGATCCTGGTCACTAGCAGGCCCAGCAATCTGAAAATCAGATAATAAACATGTCAGCCCAACTCCCAGGCGTGGTTTTCAAAGAATACAGGATCCATAACAAATCTGATACCATTTGTTGCCTAAACACAGCAAGTGAAATTAATTAACTTTTTTATCTCGATTATCAGTGTGACAAATTTAATACAGCCATAAACATCGCTGTCTGGCATAAAGACTTGCGGTGATATGGAAAACTGAAATGTTAACCTTTAAAGGGCCCACTTTGTTGTCTTCTTGAGCTTCGGCAATTCATCAACAAATTAACGCCCTCGGGTAAAAAGTCACAAAGTGGACAAAATTACCGCCCCATTTGGGCTGGAATGTCAGAGCTTTGCTCCCCGAGAAGGTCAATGGCCAAATGGTACTTTCCTGGGATCCTCACCTAATCCGCGGTAGGCTCTGGCCCACAGTAATAATAATCAATATTTTCTCTAGAGGGGCCTCGGACACTGCCAACCGGGAAAATCCCGAAAGACGCCCCAGTTGCGTGTTTGACATGTCATTCGAAGCCAACTGGTCGAATTCAGAAGGCACATTTTTGGCTTCCCCTCAAAGAGTGAGGACACTGGAGGGAAACAAAGCCACAGGCCAAGTTTCATGATTTGGCATCGTCAACAGGAAGCACATTAAGCATTGGACTCCACCCCCCAAATGGCGAGAAATGGCGGGAAGGATAATGGACGAGGTGGTGGCGTGGACATCTTTGGGGACATTTAAATTGAAATGGCCTATGATTTGGCAGATTTTTTCGGCTTGACTCGCTTAAAGTTGAGCCTCTTCAAGGACGACGAAACACGCAGCACGTACGCACGAAAAAGAAAGCAGAGAAAACACTGGAACGGAATGTGTCAGGTCAAAGGGCATTTAAACGATTGGGTTTTATGGTGATGGGAATAGTTTATAAGAAGATAACAACTTTCAGTCAACTTAAATATCAGTTTGTAGCATTCTCATATTTCACTTCAATGGCGGTTCTTTATGAAGCGGGAATGGGGCCTTATTTTGCCTGTTTTTAGTGGCTTACATTATTTGTTACGCATAAAAGTGATGTCGTTGACAAATTGTATTGTGTTCTACACAGAACTTAGTCCTTGTTTCTCTAAACCATATTTTCACTTCATCGTAATGCAAATCTCCATATGTCCATGTCAAGGCTGGTTTAATCAGAAACACTGTCATCCACTGGAACTGAATCTGCATATTCTTTTATACGAGATAAAGGCCTCACCTAGAACTAAATCATAAATATAAATTCCAGTTGTATAGCACAATTTCTGCAGCCGCCAGCAATCTACATGTAAAGCTCTCAAATATTTGTTGGAGATTCTGGCTATTTATTTTCATTTTGAATTATGGAGCTCCTCCCCGAACATCGAAACCCAACTAAGCCAAAGCCGAACACACATGAGAAGTAAATTAAAAAAATAAATAAATAAACCACAATGGCAGGGCAAACAAAAAACCAATGAATGTATAGATAGAGTCACATATATAACCCTGTAAGGGGGCGGAGTGGGTGTGTGACACGGGACCGGAGCCTTGACGTGCGTGGGCCCGATAAAAATTGTGTTCTGTAGCCTACTTTTTGGGCGCCTCGACCTTCCACAAAAGGGTAAAAACGGAACTACTAGTCGAAAGTTTGCTCGGCCAGGACGCGTGTCCCGGTCAATGAACTGTGGGTCCTCTAATGAGCTCCACCATTTCCATGTGATTTATGTCTTTGTCCGATTTCAAATCTAGACAATTCATTGCGTGGCTCAATTCGAAGTTGCGAACTAATCGCAGTTTATGTGTGAAAAACATGTCGTATACTTAATATTATCCTTTTCGGAGGCCAGTAGTGTATTTGCATATTTATCTAATGCCGCCTGGACTATGAGCTTAATATAGTGACAACTTCGCAGCTGCCCTTGTCGGTTTTCTAGGGGTAACAGTAATAGCAGTTTGATGAGTTCTTTCCAGAGGGGGAGGGCAGGCGTGTGAAAATCGGGTCAAAGGTGCAATGCCAGCGTTAAAATGCTTGGGGATTATGTTGAGCCGGCTTCAGTGCAGTTGCACAACTAAGATGAGCTGCCTTACAGAGAAAAAATATTTTATTAGTTAATAAATACATACATATTTTATAATTTCTTATAATTTAGAATTAAGGCTTGTCATTCTGAATTAAAAATTATTATTATAATGAAGTTATTCTACCTTTTACAGTGCTACAACTGTTAAGTGGTTTAAAAAAATAGAAGCGAAAGAGCGAATCAAATATTTGTGCTTCGGCCCCAATGGAGGAGGCTGCTGGCATCCTGGCAACAAAAATGCCGCCCACCCACGGGCAGGCTGTGCTGGCCTGTGGGATTGCCATCCTGACAATATCCTTAGATTGGTTTGTGCAAAAGCGCACCAGAAACGGCGGTGGTCGTGGAAAATTGGCACAGGGCAGACATGACAAGGCAGTCGGGCAGACGGCATCCCAGTTAACCCGACTAAATGGCATCTAGCGAGGGAACATGCACTGGCATCGCCAAACAGGATCAACAGGAATTTGCATTTTATGGCGTCTGCGAATGCATTATCCCAGCCGGCCTCTTTGGGGATTTGTTCCGAGCCCAAGCCCGAGTCCGACCCTGTAATTGTTTAAATTAAGCTTTTGACGAAAACTGGAAATGCAATTAAAGTCAAGCGAGCAGCCGCAAATTATGTGGTCGTTGTCATTTGATTCGCAGGACACCGAGCCAACGAGCCCGCGGACTCTCGGAACCGCTGGCAGCTCCTCCTGTCCTCGCTGGCAGCTCCTTCACATTTTTTGGGGCAATTAAAATGTCAAAATGGCTGTGACACGACTCGTCCTCGGTGTTACTTTACAGTTTTTAATTGTCTTGGACAATGCAGCTTGGGTATCTTTTCCTTCACAACAAAATAGGGACAATACAGAGAGAAAAACAAACAGATTCCAATCCCAATAATTTGGTTGACTTTTGACTCCATTGGGATTAGATGTTATGAGTCCTTAGGTTGTTCCTGAAGGATTATTTAATATTTGTCAAATAAAAACAGAATGCATTTGGCTGGTTGACTGGATTGTTTACAGACGAATTACCCCCCAACCATACCCCCCAAAAACCTTTTGGTTGGCGAACGATATCCACAAATTTGCTGTAATTCGAGTTTTATGCAGCACTCGACATGCAATTTTGTGTGCGCCATGTTCATCGTGGTCGTCTTTGGTTACAGTTCTCGCTTTCCCCATGGCATTTCCCCCTTCCACTTTCCCCGCCCAGACAACTGTCACACTCGCATAACGAATGAGAGCTAAATGCCGTCCTCCCTTGGATATTTTCCATCCTAGCCATCAATATGCCAGCGTTGGTAAGTAGGTCGCTACGGAATGGAAGTATTGGGTTAAACGTTGCCGGCTGCCTTCTGCTGTATGTTTATTGTTTAGACATTGATCTCTTATACCCAAAAAATAACACAAGTGGTGACGGCAATTTATTTATGTAAGTTGTCTGCAATATAACAAGGTTAAATATGACTCTCGAAGTCTGTCGAGGGTCGAGTTTTCCGTTTCAATAAATTCACCTTTAAATTTTCACTCAATCATCCCCGTTTTTAGCCTTTGCGATTTATGATAATTTCGAAAACAGATATGTTATTTATCACTCAACGGATTTTCTTACCGCCAATAAAACGCTGATGAATTATGGCCTAAATGTCGCTGCTTTTGACAGCTTTTTCAATGCTAATGAATAGTTTATTATGCGCCATGAATGGCGAAAATTTTTAAGTAGCTCTGGGACTATTTTTCAAACTCCGGGAGACTTTAGTTACTAACTTATTTTGCTTTAAAAACTGTACTTGGGTTTTTTAGATAGAACTTTCCTCCAAAGCCCTTTTACCTTAATTGCATAATTGTTGGCTAACCCACTCGCAGTTTTCAAAGCCCGGCTCAGCAAAAAGTGCAAACATCCTTACAAGGTCATTGAATACCCTAACACACACACAAGTCTGCTCTAGGGCTTTCTCCTGATTTAGTATGTGTAAATATTTTGCTCTCCAAAGGCCCCCTTCAACATGAAAGGTTCCTGGTTGTAGTTATCGTCGTTATCCTGTTTGTGTGTGTATGGTCAGGACTCTTGTTACGAGGACAGTCGGGTCTCGCTTGCCCCCTCCATGCCCTCTATGCACTCCTTGGCACTTCCACACACACTCAATCTCATACGCCATTTGCTGCAACTTCCGCTTCCGTTTGGGTTGGTCGAGTTCAATGTAGGAAGCGGGGACTGCACTCGGGAAAGGACATATCGGGTGAAGGGTGGCGTGCCGGCTTCATTCTCCGCAGAGCAGGCTCTTGAAAATTTACGGGGCCTTTGGTCCTCTGTTGCATTCCTCAAATTACCGACACGCATATTTTATATTGGGCCTGCATTAAGGACCATATCCCTCAAGCCCTCTATTCTCTTGTTCTATATCCATTTCATTCGCGCCTTTACTCCCCCTCCATGGCCATCTCGTGCACTTTGTGGCGCTTTTAATTAACGGGAATTTATGCATAATGCGCTCGGCCATCCCACTGCCCCACCCCTTCGAAGCCCCATTCATGGCCAGAAGTTATGAGCCGTCAGCGAAATGTGAAAATTTGCAAATGAGAGTGAAAAAACTGCTTCTATCGCAGTGGGAAAGTATTTAATTTCGATTTTTCGGCTTGACTGTTGCTTGGATTAAATTTACGGCCGTTCTATGCAAATATTGTATTTTATATTAAACAGATAAGTTTACTAAGCCCATACGAATATAAATTTCAAATAACTATTTAAACATGGACAGTAAGTGAGTGACATCACGGTCTAATTGAAATTAACTCGCTCTAAATTTTTCAATAATTGCACAAACTTGGAAAAACCCAATTCAATTTCCACACAACAACCGCAAAAACATTTAAGGCTAAATGCTTTTCAATTAACACATGACAAAGTTTTCTTTTGATTTTTTGACAATTTACACATTTATTTGTGGGTCCGGTTGTTAAGTGAACTTTTTGTGACCCCCGTCATGGCGCAACAAAACGAAAAACTGAGTCTGGGAAATATTTCCAGCGGCTGGCAACAATAATAGCCGCAGTACAAATAAATCGACCAACAATAACACAATTTTCTAGTCGCACATAAGCCGCATTAAAATGACTAAAAATAGGGGAAACACTATTTTTTTCGTATATTTTTGCACTGGGCCATAAAAAACGTTTCTTTGTAGCCAGCAGATGTGGCAAATGTCTTTGAAAAGGACTGTGGTGGCAACAAGACTATCCATTAGGAGCCGTGGTAGCAACAGGTGTTTATGGCCACTCAATGGATGCCGGCGTAAATCTTGCATTCAGCATTGCGCCCAGCCGAAGGACTCGGGAACATTTACGAGCAGAACACGCTGCAAAAAGGATATCTCGATAGGCAATGTGATGGACACCGACTGCGCAATCTCAGCAATATGTTCTTGTGAGTCTTACAAACATATACGCTTATGGTAGTTTAGTAAATATTTAGGATCATTTATGTTACCGATGAAATCATACAACTACTTGAACTAAAGCTGAAACTATACTACATCATATATAATATTTTAAATATGTATTAATTCAATATTAATTGTTAAAAGGCACATCCATATTTTTAATAATTACCATTAAATAAAATATAATCTTTTTTTTTTATAAAGAAAACATTCAAGTGAACATTGCCTAATAAAATCTTATTAACCTTTTATATAAATTTAAATATTAACCACCTAAATATTAAACACCCAAATACTTACATCTAATAGAATTACCCACACACCTCTCATAAATGGTAAAAAAAAACATAAATTAAAATGAATATCATCATCCTCAGTTGCTAGGCACTGCTCATAAAAATAATTATTATAAAAATTACTCAATACAAATAAATAATTAAAATCTAAATACTTTTAAATTCATAAACAATTGCATTCAAATATGTTAATAAAAAATAAGTACTTAATAAAAAAATCGAAAAATATATTATTATGGAAAAATAAGAAACAAGCCTTTTCATGCCAAAGGACCTGTTATTAAATATTTTTATTTTAGTTTTAAATGATTTTTTTTTTTTTTAATTTTTGTTTTGAACATTCATACTTTTTTCAAGAAACCAAAGATATCACATCCTTTGGCAACATTTTGGCATGTTTCTGGCAACAATCTGAATGTTGCTAGCAACCTGCTGTACGAGTTGCTGCTGTTCAGACGCTTAGAGCAGCTGCTGCCGCCTTTTCCGCTGCTTGTGTTGGCCAGAGGCTCCTCCAAAAAGCGTTTTCGATTCAGTACGCTTTGTGCGTCCGACGTGTGCAGTTCGCCGAACAGTTTGGGCAGAAACAAGTGCCACCGGTGAACCGACAACTTGACTCCGATTCGAGGTGCCACCAAAGTTTTGTAGGCGCGTGAACTCGTTACGCATAAATTATATCTTGTGCTCTGACCGCGATTTTAACGGATCCAACGGCAAACAGCCAGTAACAGCAACAGCAACGGCACCAAATTGTGGCAAGGAGTCGACAATATTGTTGCCGCTTTCCTCCATACTCAGATGCAGTTGTTGAAGTCGTGTGTTGTTTTGGTGTGTGTTTTTATTGGCGTTAAAGGTCGTTTACTTTTTGGCGGCATCAACAACTTTTGTTGCTGTTTTGATTTTCATCTCCCCGAGCGGCTGTGTGTGCCGTATTTGTGAGTGCATTTGTCACCCGAGATCCGAGAGTGTGTGTGCGCGTGTGTGAGTGTTTATAACACACTTTCAATTTTCAATAAAAACACAAAACGAGCCAAGCCACAAAAATATAATCAAAATTCGCACACTGATGACGTCGATTTATTTAACATGGCTCGTGACGCTTTAAATGCCTAGCATTTGTGATCGTGATAGCCAATATAAAAATTCTATATATATTTTTTTTCAATTTTCATTGGATTTGGAACTTGTATATATGACACGCGTTGTGGTGATACGTGTAAATGAGTCAACGCATATGATAATTCAGTTAAGAAGTACACATTTCAATGGAGATACAATTTATTGATATCGAGTTTATTGAGATAGTATTTTAAAATGGGTCTTTTAATTGAGAGATTGTTAGTAGACTGTAGACTTTCAGTAATGGTTCAATTAATCTCTCACACTTTAATATCAATGCCTTAATTTTTTTCTCTCGTGAAAGCACAATACTATTTTAGATTTTCTTGAAATTCACAAAGTGCTAGTTAAACATTTCTGAAACCCCAATTTGAAAGCTTAGATTTATTTTATCCCCAAGCTACATTTACTCGCGGTTGAATTTCGTTTGTGTAAATTTCCCAAGGCGAGCATAATGCATGAGAATGTTTCCCATTCATTACGGCTATCTGAAGTCAGATTTCGTTTAGCCAAAGAAACCCGAAAAAAGTCAATGCACCCGGAGCCAGGACAAGTCCTCCAAAAGCCATCAAATGTGTTGACATCAACCTAGAGAGTGCGCCCCGAGTGCAATTGTTAATTATGTATGCCAATCTGGTAGCCAGAAATGTTCACAACACTTTAGCGCTGAAGATATAAGCAGACAGCCGGCATCTCATGCATTTCATTAATATACCGAACACAAAGAAAAAATGCCAAAAAAGAGGATCGAAATCATCGCCCTAGTCTGCTGACCAGCACCACCCACTGACCACTCTGACCACACAGTCCACAAAGTGTTGACGCGTGTTTGGATTTCCATTTAGGCTCTGGATAACCGAAACCGAAAATTCCCCACGATTCGGATTCCCACTTGGGTTGCATATTTAATCAGAGCCACAGAGTCTCTTCGATGATGCAGCCCACATCAGTTTTAACTTAATTTGTAATCCATCAGCAGCCCCGAGGATGAGCGTGGCAACCTTTTTCTTTTTAATTTACGAGCTTGAAGTTTTGCAAGGCAAAAGGTTGCTCCGAGGCGTCATCAATTTCGGCAAATGTTCTTTCTCAGGCAGCTGCCTCGGCGACCCGCTAAATTGCAGCTAATTGAAAAATGTATACAAAACAAATACCAAAAACCGAAGCCTAAGTGCATTTCCAAGGCGAGCCGGGGCAAGTTAACGAGCCGCTTACGCAGAGTAATGAGGGGTGATTGTGGAGCAGGCAGGGGGTTTTCTATTGATGACGACAGTTTATAAAAATTACGCATGAACAAACTAATTTTCATTATGAATAGCGACAAAAAATGAGAAGAAACAAAAGCGAGGCATAGACAGACTGAAGTGGGAAGGATTTGCTAGGAATGTCGACTACGCAATGCTCTTTAAAGAATGACAAAAAATAAAATTAAACTAATTTTTGAGGAGAAGTATTCATGTTTGCTTACTGAAAATTTTAAATAAAATTTTCCCTAGTTATTCATTTGCAGTTATTTAGTTAAAGTTTGATCTTCTTCAAACTACCTTCTATCAATAGAGCATTTTTGCTAACAAACAAGTCAGACGACTGCAATCACAAAATGGTAGCGTAAAAATAAACATTTTCATTTAAATTGTTATATTTATTGAATGGCGACATCGCTTTTGATACGATATCTTGAGCGTGGGCGTGGGCTCTTTCTGTTTTTGGTCGTCATCGGCGGAAATTGCTTCTCAGTGGAAAATAATTGGAGGCGCAATTGACATTATTCCCGAAATATGTGCCACAAAATATAGATACTTGTATGATGAGTTTATATTTAAAAAAAATGAACATTTTTTATGGGTTAATCAAAAGAACTGTGCAAGTTGTTTAATGATGTTGCCACATTGGTGTAATTAGGCAAATGGGACGGGGTGCCACGGAAAATGGGTGCCACGCTATAAGTAAAAGCAGAAGACGCTGACAAAATCGTTCAAGCTGAAAGGAAAACTTTTCCTTAATGCAATTTGCGCATTTGCCGCAAATTGAAAATTTTCTACTTGGCTTCGAGCAAACTCCTACGCGACCTTCCTCAAAAGGTGAGGGACTGAAAATTTACTCTCCATTGACTTGAGATGAGGTTTCAGTTTCTTTATTCGCCTCAAAGTGTTTGATTAAGTTGTTCCATCAATTAATTAGGGAAAACTTTTCCTCCATTAAAGCTGTACGATCTGTGGCGCCTCGGTTGGAGCCCGTGTGCTATAAGTGTCAGAATCACACAGTGCCTCAAAACGGCAATAGAAAAGCCACAGAACCCAGTCAGCAATTACCCAGATAAAGGAAGTTTGGGTGTCTGGAGAGGCAAGGTCCGGCGTCCCGAGCAGCCTGCTCCTGACATCGTCGGCCACCCACTCGACCGTTACCAATTGGGGAGCTATAAAAATGTCTGCAACAAAACAAAACAACGCAAACGAGCAGAAAAGACTTTTCGGACTTGGCCCTCGACTGGTATTGTGTCTGATGCAGCGGTCAGAGCTAGCCGGGTTCAACGGGTCGTATGCGTAATCAATTGTTGCAGCTGTGTCACGTTCTAGAACAGATAGCCAAATCGAAGTAAGCCGCCGTCTCTGCCACAATTCGGTCTCCCCCACTGTTACAATTTACTTAATCGAGTTTCGCACACATTTTCGGGTCAGTTGCCAGTTGGCAGCCGCCTTTGTGCCCGATATCCTATTGATTGCCAGCCAAGAACAGAAAGGAGTATTCATATGCACGGCAATAATAAACAATGTTGCACTTTCATCTACCCGGCTTACTCGAAATATTTCGAAATGAAGGAACAAAAAGTTTTGGCAAGAATCAGGGGTCAAGACACCAGGCATTAATTTCGTTTGCGAATCTCCGACAAAGAATCAGAAAGCGATTTCGGACACATCGCAGTCGCCAGACAATTGACCCAAACTGCCAATAAAATTGAGTAGCGTGAAATGTAAATAAGAAGCATTCTCTCCTTTTGGCTAATAGGTCGATTATGACGGCGATGACGCTGCCAATTTGTGCCGCACACAGCTGAGCAGAGGGTAATGAGAAAGCCATAAAATAAACAGTTGAATAATCGGCAATAATGAGAGCTGCCAGCGAGATGTTCCCATCACCCCCTCGGGCCATCTTGAGGCTACACGAAATCGATTCGACGGCAACAATAACACGGCACAGTACATGTGAGCCTTTTAACAATAAGCCACAAAAAGAGGTGTAGATCAAGGCGATCAAATGTGGCCCGCTAGCCGGGAAAAGGCCAAAAACAATCGGACCGGAGGTGTGAACTCTCCTCTGGCCATTACTTCGATTGGCAAGAGCTGGCAGGTCTAAAAAAAGACTCATATGGATCAAATCTCTTCGGTTTATGGGCAACCAATTATGTTTATAATAATATTTGGATTAAAGGCACATTGACGGATGATTGATAATAAAAAATATTAAACAATAAACTTTTAACAAAATGGACTCATCTGAAAAAAAAAACAGAAATAGAAAATAGAAATATTTTTTTAAATAATTGAATTATCATCTTAGTCTTCTGGCTACTCGGTAGAAAATTGATTTTTTCCTTAAACAGAAATCGCATTTAATTATTTTAGCCTGAAAAGTTTTGAGCGCGCCAAAACTTAAATAAATTATGCAACAGCTGTCATTAATAAAGTCGAGCGAAAAAAGTGAAAAAACAACAAAAAATCGAAAATATCCCACAATGAATCAAGGTCAGTATAAGGCAGCATAAATGCAACAACAACGGCGGCAAATTGAAGTTGCAGTTTGTGTTGAAAATCCAGTTTTGTATTTGGTGAGCTGCACTTGGCAAAAAATACACAAAATCGAAACAGCAAACAAAAGCATACGCTCGCCCCGCACTGACGTTCAAGTTTTCGGTTTTGGTTTTCTGTTGATTTCTTTAAAATATCAAGTGAGCTGAAATTGATTTAATCAAGCCACACAAGTTTGCATCTCAGGTCGGGAGTTAGCCGGAGGAGTGCTTTTTTTGGGGAAATATAAATTCACTCCATGTCAAAATCAATTTTCGACACGAAAATTAAACTTTTGCCATATTGGGTTTCATATTTTTCATATTTCACAGCGACCCATTCCACACAGCACCCAAACACTGGCTGCCACAGAATGTTTTTTTGGGGCGTGTCAGTATCTGGGTTCTTGTAATTAATCGCTGCGAATGCAAAAATTTATGAGATTTCCATGAATTTTTGAAGCCTTCTGTGGAGTTATGTGGGCTGTCCACGGATTGGCATTGAAGTGCGTGGAAACCCAAAACAGAAATCAACACACTCACGTGTGACTATGTGCCAGCTGACCATATATCAATTAAAGTCACAGTCACAACAAAATCGTGTGACAATTAAATCCGTAAAATACCGAAACGATTGACTTGGCAATCGTTCAACTGTGAAAATTTGCATGGCTCGGCGAAAATTGCGATAAACCGCTTTACCGATTATGTGATAAACGCCGAGATTGATCTGTCACAATACGCACTCAATGTCAACTAATCAGTTTGGCAGCTAAATACGCTATAATTAGTTAATTAAGTCTTGTTGAGGTGATTCTACAATTTAAGATTTAAGACTCCTGGCTGCTACCTTCCATTATCCCGGCCTTAAACCTGTTAAGGTAATATTTAATAATTTATCAAGGTATGCTTTATTTCTTAAAGTGGTTTCATTTTTTGCAGAAATGTTTTATTGAAAATTTGTATGGCAGTTCTGTGCACCCTTTTTAAATATATGCATATTAGAGAAAACATAAACCTTACCCAGCTATTGGCCAGGCTCTTTTTTAAACAGGCCACTCAGCTTGAAGTGGCTGAAAACAATCTATAAATTCCCCCGCCAAATAGTTTCAATCTGGAAAACGTGTGTTTGCATTTGGCTGCCGTTGGTGTGATTTTGTTTTCTCAAATCGTGTTTTGCTAGGTCATGTCTTACCTTTCTCCTTTTCTTCACAGCCAGGGCGTAAATATTTGAGTTTTCCTATTCGTTTGCAGATGGCTTTAGGTTTGTAGAGGGCATGGGTGAAAGTTTGTCGAGAGGATTTGTTGCCAGGCAGATAAAAAAAAAAACAAGAAATACTTGGAAGAACAAAATAGTCTTGTATAGCATTTTAAAATTATTTTTATTAGACTTCTCCTAGTTTACATAGTCATTTTCATCGCCTTGTCGCTAGCCTGGGCATGCTCTTTCATACTCGCATTAGAGATACTATATATTCTGTTTATAATCGATAAGCACACCAAATAAATAACAATTGGTGCTTGTTTACAATTAGTCAATATGAGAGAATCCCGCAGATTATTATTCATGAATGATTCTGGGTTCCATTAGAGGCAATTGAGTTCTAAATGTGTGGTACCCTCTTACCTATAAAGACGGAGGGTTAATCAAGAACTATTTTTACTATTTTCATCTGAGGTTCCTGAAAATCTTAAATCTAAAAAACTAGTCTTTTATATAGTTAAGTCTTTAAGAAATTTTTAGGTACACTTTATTAAAATAGCAATAGGTATATTATAGTCGACTTTGTTCACAGCTTTGGACGCTTTTCCATCCCATTATCCACGGGCCACGTTTCCGAGGTGCCCAACTATCCGCTCAGTTGTTGCTGCTTTTGGTTGCTATTGGCGAGGTCAGTGGAACATAAACATGCCATAAATCATCGGCAGAAGTGTGAGCAATTCTGCGATGTTGCGGTGGAGGCGGCGGCTCGTGCTGGGAAATCTTTTTTATTTTTTGGACATATTTTTGTCCTTCCTCATCCTGCATCGGCCCATCATCGTGACATTTCTGTGAACTTAAGATTCATTTAGTCGCTTTTCCATACAAACATATGTACGTATGTACATATATAGAACATATAAAAAACAACGATTCGTGGACACTTTGTAGCCCATTGCAAATCTAAAACTGTCAACAGACTCATTAATTATGACTCGGGGATAGTGTTGAAAAATGGGCCTTGCCCACCAATTTTGCACAGAACATTGTGTGCCAAATTTGTCATTCATCAGCTTCTGGCCTTTTGTTTCTGACAAGAACAAGGCTCGGCTTTGGATAGTTGGAGAGTTCGTTTTTAGCCCGACTGATTGAGGGCCTTTGTTGGTGCAAAGTGTTTGTTGGCCTGCTGGCTAATTTCGTCCTGCCTGGTCGCTGCCTGTTTGGGAATTGAAAAAGTTTCCTTTTTGTGTGATGGACCCTCGTCATAAACGAGGGAAATGTGACAAAAAGTTTATGATGTTGCCCCATTAACGTCAGTTTTGTTTTAAATGTTACACTACATTTAATCCAAATATACTATAAGATATTGTGATGCACACTAGAAGTGTATTGCTTTCCAAGTTAATTCTATTACGATGATCAAAGTTCACCTGTTGGTAAATCAATTTGTCTATCCCCTCTAATGTAAGTAAAAGCCCCTCAAGCTGATTGCGCACAGCAACCGTCAAGGGGCAATAAATAATAATTTAGGAAGCGTAACTGACACCTCATTATCGCATCCCCTCAGACAGCATCAATCACCGTGATAACCAAAGAAATCGCTGCATTTGTGTTACGTGAAGCGTAAAAACGCAGGCCATCAAAGTGAATTCCATTTACTGGCAAAAACCGAGCTAACAATAAAGTGCAACTGAATCGGAAAGTGAACGCCGGGGTGAATAAAGTAAATACGAGGCAGTGGCAGAGCTGTGAGTCGGTTAGTGGCAAGTTACAAGAACAGCGGCAACTGCGGGCTGAAAGCAACGGCAGCCGGGAATCATGAGCGAGAAACGAATCGCACACAAAACTGTCATCAAATGACAAATGCTTGACAGCATCAATCAACAACTGCGACGACAGCGGCGACAGCGACGACGACTGCGACTGAGACGGACGACGATGGCAGCAAGTTGCCGGCGGCGTCGGCAGAGCATCAGGTGCGTCGGCAGTATCAGATCTCTGCTGATACTGCTGCTGCTGATGGTGCCGACGCTGCCAGCTCAGGTGGCAGGCGAGGAAACCAAAGAAAATCGAACAAAAGCCATGCAGCAGTCTGACTTCCAGGACTCGCTGCCCCACAATCTCAGCCAAGTTGCAGTAAACAAGTCCTTGGCCACGCCCACCACCGCGAGCTTGCCCTCGGGCATCAGGGAGAACGTGATGCTGCCCTCGGCCGATCCCGAAAAGGAGGCCCAGATCCTCTACGAGAAGTCTCTGCAGGAGTACCACGGAAGCCAGCTTCCCGCCACCGCCTCCGGAAACTCCTCAAGCGGCAAGCATCTTCAACCGCAGCAGCCGCAGCGCACCCTGCACACCATCTGCGAGCGGTGGCAGCAGAAGCACTGCCACTGCAGCGGCAGCCTTGAGAGCTTGCGACTTAGCTGCCGAGGGATCGGTATCCTGGCGGTGCCCGTAAACTTGCCCAGCGAGGTGATGGTCCTGTGAGTATATACTTTTTTTTTATCAGAAGCTTTCAAACATTTCATATAAATAGAATAGTCGTCCTTAAATTTTATTTTAATAATATTTTTAATACCATTAATCATTAAGAAAAAATAATTATAGGTTTATTTTGCTTTTTGAAAAGATTACCAATGATATTTTTCCATCCCCTCTCTTATCTTGATTACATTTATGATCTATTTTAAGGACGCCCATAAACGAGTAGAAATCCTATTAAAATTTTAAATTATGTAATTATGTAATGAAAATTATAAATTAAATGATTTCTTAAGTATGATCTTCAGAGATGCAACAACATGTATATAAAAAGGAAAAGATATATTTTTTTGATCTCAAGCCAATAATATTTTCGAAAGTTAGGGGCGTTAAGAGGCTAGTTTGACAAGAGATTCGATACAAAAATGTATAAAATTAATGCCTTTTTACTAAAGTTCCTTCAATCCATAAAACTAACTAAAAATCCAGTTTTCTTGGGGGCCTGAACCTGCTGTCTAATTACATTGGAGAACAATGCGTGAGCCTCCCTTATTAAGCGATTATGCCGACTTATAGTCCGAAATATTGAACCATTTTCCGCAGCTAGCATTCCTCAAATCGCATAATTACAAGTCAATTTCGCAGTCTTTGGTCTGATTCGGATTTGGACGATTTTGGCATGCGGTTTAATCTAATTACACATACGCCACGTTGTGCAGCGTTTCGCAATCGCGGGGCAATCGCCTCGTCATCAGCGTCAACGATGTCATTGCTCACGTATGTGAGTCACGTTTTCTTGCCGCCGACGGGCTCTCTCAAAGGAGTTGGGCACCGCTTTTGGCCAGGCCAAAGTTTCCACTGATTAATGGCCAACTCGAACGGTCCATAAATAAATAAATAATTTATTAATTAACGCATCGCTCCGAGGCACCAATCATAAGCCATTAAAATCACTTGCAGCTTGGATCTGTGGCACTCACTTTCAATACGAATTTCCCGACTTTGTGCAAAGTTTTCGTTTGGCAATCAAATCTTAGTTTCCCCACCGGCAGTACGGCAGTTCATCTTCATTTTTATGCCATTTTCCGCAGCGAGGGGTCTTCGGGTTAGCTCAATATGTTTTTATGCGATTCCCCCGTTTGATTGATGGCCCACAGAGATTTATATCAATCCTCTCCGCCCGGCTCATATTTTTTGGAAATCATTTAAGCCTCCTCTTCTATTCATGACAATGGCAATACGTCCTTGTTGCCTTATTGACGGATGAATTGTAGGCCTATCGAATGGCTAAGTGCGGGTTATTAATTTGTTTATTGTTTTCTTCCCAACAGAGATTTGGGAAACAACAACTTAACCAAATTGGAGGCGAACTCATTTTTTATGGTGCCGAATCTGGAAGAGCTGTGAGTACAGGGGAAATTTATGACATTCAGTTTTTGTTTTGTTTTTTTTTTTAAATAATGATTAATATAACAATTTCATTCATAGTGCGGATTATCCCATACCGCAGAGTACGAGTATTTCAGAAACCCCAAAACTTTCCCATTTTAATCTGTCGTGCTCTCGAAAAAAAAGAGTACAAAATATGACAACATGAAAAACTTTCGTCATTTTAAAAGCCAAAGTTGCCGCTTGCGGGCGTGGCAGAAACTCATTATTCAATTTCACAGCAAACCCATCCGCAAAAAATCACAGCGGTCAACACACCCTGAGACCGAGTCGGAGACCCAACCCTGACCAAACCACAGACCCTACCCCACCCATCCCCAAATCCTAGTCCCGACCCCGGCCAGGGTAATATAAATTACTTGATTACGCTGTATATTTCAGCGAGTTGGCACGATTAATTACTCCTGGCAGTGCTATTCTTGCAATTTCCTGCACTTTAGGCGACGACACTCGACTTTAGTTTGACTTTATGCCGGTTATATGTATGTACTATTGTTGACCGAGGGAAGGTTTATTTGCAGAACTTTGTCCGACAATAGCATCATTAATATGGATCCCAATGCATTCTATGGTCTGGGCAAATTGAAACGCTTGAGCTTGCAGAACTGTGGGCTCAAGTCCCTGCCGCCGCAATCGTTCCAAGGACTCGGCCAGCTGACCAGCCTGTAAGTATGCAACGGCAAGTGTTTAAAAATAAAATATGTCCGTCAGTGAGTGTGTGAGTGAACGTTGATGTTTGCTTTTGAGCATTGCAATTAGACGAGGATATCGAAGCGGAGCAAGGACTTCTCGGCCGGATGGAAGCTTTGTTTGTTTTACGTTGGCCCCCGTCCCAGACCCACACACCCATAAATATGAGCAATTACACGCTATTTTCCCGTATTTTTCGCATTTCTTACACACTTCTTTCTGCTGCTTTTTCGTTTCTCCTTTTAATTTGGACACCTTTGCCATGGCTGACACCACCACCCACCTGCGGCCCGCCTCGCTGCACCTGCAGCCAGCTGAACGGCAATGCCCTGGTCAACCTGGACGGGGATTGTCTCGGCCACTTGCAGAAACTACGCACCCTGCGCCTCGAGGGCAACCTGTTCTATCGCATACCCACAAACGCTCTGGCCGGACTCAGAACCCTCGAAGCACTGTGAGCCTTTGATTTGCCCCAATCATTTTCCATTCTGATTATTTCACTTTGCATGTTTATCGAAATTTCGTAGTCGAACGCAATTAACAAATTGTTTTAATTGCCAAAGTGTTGAGCTCTAATGTTGGCAAATTAATTCCGGAATGATTTTGGCAAACTTTTTAGCTTAACAATGCAATTAGGTAAATTGTTTGCGATTACTGTTTATGAAAACCACCGTGAAAAATTATGTTGTCGACCACAAACAAATTTTGAAAACTAATGTATCTAATTTTTAAAGCACGTTCTGGCTTTATAGTGCATGCTGCATAAATCAAATACTCCCAAATCACGACCTTTATTTAACTATCTCGGTATTCATTCCCATATAAACTAACCACAGCCAATAATAATAATTTGATGTGCATGTTTTTCTAGAACATTGACCCCTAACTTCCTCCGCATTCGTACATTACCATTTTTAATCTATAAACTTAGTCGAACCACAAAAAAGCATTGAATTATAAATGAAAGTTAAGGCATCATAAAATCATGGCATTGCTCATAATTTTTCCTTCTGCTTCCATTTGCTTCCATCGACAGCAATTTGGGCAGCAATTTGTTGACAATAATAAACGACGAGGACTTTCCCCGAATGCCAAACTTGATCGTGCTGTAAGTAATACATGAGTTCTAGTACAATTTCAAGCATTAAATCTCTATCTATTTTCAGTTTGTTGAAGCGAAACCAAATCATGAAAATATCCGCGGGTGCTCTTAAAAATCTAACCGCTTTGAAAGTTTTGTGAGTAATAGCAACCATGACCGAAACTTTAAATACTTTAAGCCGTTTATTTAGGAAACACATAAAGAGATGGGGAAACCCACTGACACCAATGCGACCAAAAATTTGGGGTACTGATAAAGAACAGGAAATGGATTTTTTTTTCTCAAAGCGCTAGAATGTTTGGGAATTCCCTTAGCTTAGTTTCCATATCTGGATTTTTAATTTAGGAACGTTTTTTTGTTCCATAAAAATAATTTTAAAAAACAAGATTAATTTATTATCAGTCTCGGAATTTTTTCTAAGGTTGAAAAGACACCTTAGCTCGCGTCATTAAAAATGCTCAGGGTATGAAGAAAACGATGCAACTTCAACCACAAGTGGCAAGTGGAAATGGTGTTTATCCGTTTTGCGGCCATGGCTCGAATAAATTTCAATTTTCCGGAACAGGCGAGAGAACTTTTCTTCTATTTTATTTTTTTTTCCCGCAGCCCCCATGCGTTGAGTTCGGCTGAGTTAAGTTTAGCTCCAGTTTGGTGCGGAACCGACAGCTTAAATTGTCGTCGCCAGCGGTGACGTTTTGCGTTGCTGTTTACCGCAAATTTTTGGCTTTTAAGCTGCACAGCTCTCGTTGTGGCCGCGCCACACGCACCGCCCTATTCAGCACATACGTCCACAGCCACGCCCCCCTAGCAGACCTCGGCAGGGCGGCGGAGAAATATGCAAATTTATGTTGTGACTGGCAGAGTACCGTTCTCCTTTTGAACGAGGCTAAGGGGGTACATTCTGTGGGATGCATCAAGTGAAAGTGAAAAACTTTCGACGTGCATCGTGGCCGAGAAGAATGAGGGAGATTTTAGTGCATTCTGGCGTTTGTTTCAAGATTTATTAAGGCTTCATCCATCCACCCAGGCAATAGTAATAAAGCATTAGCGCGGCGAACTTTGTTGTGGGAGCACCTGATATAGATTTAGAAATATCATATAGCCTTATAGGATTCATGTTCATTAGATTCGTCCAGTTGGTCATTACAAAATATTACGATAAATAATTGAAATCAATGCCCTTTGATAAAAAGTAGTGGGAAACTTTATGTTCATGCATAAATTTGCATACTTCTAACCCCGTTTCGGTCGAGCGGAAATGGAAAACCCACCGCTACGAACTACGTGCTGTCACGTAGAAAAACTGACCCCCCAAACAGAGTCATGCAAATGGCTGTGATTCCCTTAAAAAAGAAAATGCAAAAGCAAATTTGCAACTCAATTTCTATAATCGAAATCAAGGAGTGTTCTTTAAGGGTGCGTTCTGTTCTTCCATTGCAGGGAACTGGATGATAATTTAATAAGCAGCCTGCCCGAAGGACTCAACAAACTGTCGCATTTACAGGAGCTGTAAGTACATCGGATATTCGAAAACGCAGGTGCACTGGCCGAGATTACCAAATTGTGGGAGCTTCGAGTTGCGCTGGGGGGAGAGCAATTGACGTTGTTGACTTGCCACAACATTTCCTACTTTGTCGGGCGGCAAACAAGCGGAAACCAAAAATCATAACGCATCATTACTTGTCGAATTTATGGCCAGCCAGCTTAGTTTCCTTCTGATTCCAACCATTCCTAGCATGGCACAGAATCGAGAACCGCAAGTTGCATTTTGTTTTTGTCACACACTTGCTTCCTCAAAAACTCCAGTAACAGCAACAGCAGCCGCAGCAATGTCGCGGCAACATCTTAGTCCGTTGCAACTGTCATTGCAATGGTGACATCGTTTGCGATCCCAAGAGGTCCCCGAGGAAATTCAATTTCTGGTAAACAGGATAATTATGAGCATGTTAAATGTTGCGATAAAAGCCACGCTGTGCTGCAGCTCCAGAGCCATTGCATCCATGATTGGGGAATTAAGCTGGCAAATAAATTTGTACGAGTGTGGTGAAAGAATCCTTTTATTTTTCCGCCATGTGTGTGCCGTATATGTGGGAATGCCACAAACAGGGGGGGAAAAAAAAAACTAAATTTGAAAGGATTAAAACCCCTAAGTAAGCATCTTCATTTTGTTGACTCCACTTGGAAAAGAATGGGATCCAAGCCAAGACAATGCAACAAATTAGACGAGATAAACAAAGAGATTTTGTTTGTGGAAAAGTTGCTATCGAAATGAAAGTTCATTTGTTTGCCTCGAAATTTAAAGCTTTTGTGGTTGCTGATTGAATTTTTGGGACTTCAGACTGTTTCCGTTTTGACTGAACTCTTCTCAAGATTCCCTCAGTCGTTGGCCAAGAAAAGCAGAACGACTTTGGTAATACGAGAGCGCCCAAGAGTATGCACTTGTCACGGTTTATTTTTGGCATTGTTGGCGTGTTTGCAAAACTTGACTTTTAAATGCAGCTGCATCCGAGTGCCACTTGCCAGCAGTGTGTTTCCAAAAGATACTTTTCTTGGCATTGGATAAACGTTTATATTAAACTTCCTGTCACCGTTTTCCATCGCCCCTTACCAGGTCCATGACCAGCAATCGAATGCGCTGGATAAACGACACAGACCTGCCCAGGAGCATGCAAATGCTGGACATGAGGGCCAACCCCCTTTCGACCATTTCCGCAGGAGCCTTTCGAGGAATGACCAAATTGCGGAAGCTGTGAGTGTCAGTCAAAGCTAAGTGTCTGTCATTCACCACACGGCACTCGTCTTATTTTTTAGGATTTTATCTGACGTACGCACTTTGCGATCCTTTCCCGAACTTGAAGCCTGCCATGCCCTGGAGATTCTCAAGCTTGACCGAGCCGGAATTCAGGAAGTGCCATCTAATCTATGCCGTCAAACTCCAAGACTGAAGAGCTTGTGAGTAGATTTGAAATACAACTCGGAGTTTTAATTAATTAAATGGTATATATATTTTATCTGACATGCCAGAGAACTCAAAACCAATTCCCTGAAACGCATCCCAAATTTAAGTAGCTGCAGAGACTTAAGGCTGTTGTAAGTAGTAGACTAGAGTCAGTAGCAGCATTAACTTCCAACAAGCTCTCTTCTATACCAACCTAGAGATCTATCCAGCAATCAAATAGAAACGGTCCAAGGAAAGCCCTTCAATGGTCTAAAGCAACTGCATGATCTGTTGCTCTCGTACAATCGAATCAAGTCCTTGCCCCAGGATGCCTTTTACGGGATCCCCAAGCTGCAACTATTGTAAGTCCTTTCTTCCATTCCATTGGTTAAACTATAACGACTTATTTATAGGGACCTGGAGGGCAATGAGATCTCGTATATACACAAAGAAGCTTTTTCGGCATTTACTGCCCTTGAGGATCTGAATCTGGGTAATAACATATTTCCCGAGCTACCTGAATCGGGACTGCGGGCGTTGCTCCATTTGAAGACCTTCAACAATCCGAAGCTGAGGGACTTCCCTCCGCCGGACACCTTTCCCCGCATTCAAACGCTCATCTTGTCCTATGCCTACCATTGCTGCGCCTTTCTACCCTTGGTGGCAATGTCTTCGCAGCGAAAACCCTCCCAGGTCCAGGAAGCTGTCCTATTTCCCTCCGATGCAGAGTTCGATATGACTTTGTGGAACAATAGCATGATGAATATATGGCCCCAAATGCGTGAGTATAAATAGAAAGGAATCTTAACTGGCTATCTATCTGTAATCCATCTAATATCTATAAAAGATAATCTCAGCAAACAGCTGGGCGCCACCATTCACGATCCCTGGGAGATGGCGGTCAACTTCAACGAGGAGCAACTGCAATCGCAGACTGGAGGTCAGATCGCTACCAGCTACATGGAGGAGTATTTCGAGGAGCACGAGATGAGTGGGCCCGGCACTGGCTACGGCTTTGGCACCGGGCTCTTCTCGGGGATTTCCACTGAGGACTTTCAGCCCGGTTCGGTGCAGTGTCTACCGATGCCGGGACCGTTCTTGCCCTGCACAGATCTCTTCGACTGGTGGACCCTGCGCTGCGGGGTGTGGGTGGTCTTCCTCCTGGCCCTTTTGGGAAACGGAACGGTGGTCTTTGTACTGATCTGCTCTCGCTCCAAGATGGATGTGCCGAGGTTTCTGGTCTGCAACCTAGCAGCGGCCGATTTCTTCATGGGAATCTACTTAGGCATTCTGGCCATTGTGGACGCCGCCACTTTGGGCGAGTTCCGAATGTTTGCCATACCCTGGCAGATGTCGTTGCTGTGCCAACTGTCGGGATTCCTGGCCGTGCTGAGTTCAGAGCTCTCCGTATACACACTGGCAGTGATCACGCTGGAGCGTAACTATGCCATCACCCATGCCATCCATCTCAACAAAAGATTATCCCTGAGGCAGGCCGGCTACATCATGGGGGTGGGCTGGATATTCGCCTTGGTCATGGCCCTGCTACCCTTAATGGGCGTGTCGGATTACCGCAAGTTCGCTGTGTGCCTGCCCTTCGAGACCACCACGGGCCCGGCCAGCTTGACCTACGTCATCTCGCTGATGTTCATCAATGGATGCGCCTTCCTGACCCTGATGGGCTGCTACCTAAAGATGTACTGGGCAATCCGGGGCAGCCAGGCTTGGAACACGAACGACTCGCGGATAGCCAAGAGGATGGCCCTGCTGGTATTCACCGATTTCCTCTGCTGGTCCCCAATCGCTTTCTTCTCCATCACGGCCATCTTCGGCCTGCAGTTGATCTCTCTGGAGCAGGCCAAGATTTTCACGGTGTTTGTGCTCCCTCTGAACAGCTGCTGCAATCCGTTCCTTTACGCCATCATGACCAAGCAGTTCAAGAAGGACTGCGTCACCCTGTGCAAGCACTTTGAGGAGTCTCGGGTGGTCGGAGGCGGGGGCGGTCAAGGTGGTGGTCGAGGCGGGGTCCGCACAAAACGGGGAGAGCTGCCCCCGCCCTTGCTGCCCACTGCTGCGGCTGTGGCCCATCCACCCGGCTGCCGCTGTCTAAGGATGCTGCCCAGCGAAATGCCCAACTGGCACAAAATGGAGCAAACGCCCAGCCTGTGGCAGCGACTGAGGGCCTTCTGCTGCGGGGAGCGACGACGGCGACGCAAGCAGCGCCGCCAGCCACAGCAGCGCCGCCAAAGGGCTTACACGGCGGCAGCTGCCAATCCGTACCAGTACCAGTTCGCCGAGCTCCGCCAGCAGCGCCAGAACCGAGCCAGCTCCATCTCCAGCGAGAACTTCTGCAGCTCCCGGTCCTCCAGCTGGCGACACGGCCCACCTTCCTCCGCTCCCGGGCCTCCTGGTAACTGCAGCATGCCGCTGAAGATGATCGAGCCTCACGGCCACATCCACGGTCGCAGACGCCACTCCGCTTGGCTGATCACCCGCAAGACATCGCAGGACTCGAACTTGTCCAGCTCACGGAACGACTCGTCTGCCTCGGCCACTACCGCCAGCACCTCTACTTTCCGGCTGTCGCGTTCCAGTGCAGGGAGCAGCACACCCCTGCCCTCGATTATAGGTAGGACTGCCTCCAGAACATCTTTAAGAAGATACTTTATTCAGGTGTACTTACATTTTCACTCATATTCTTACAGCTCACAACGGAAAGGCGCAACTAGAGGCCGTAAAGCCACGTCTGGTTAGACAAGAGGCTGTTCAGGAGGAGGAGGACTCCTCGCCGCCCCGCCTCGGAGTCCGATTCCTGCCAACCATCCCTTCGGCAGCCGACAGTTCGGTGATAATGGAGGATGGCGATTCATCTAATGCCGGAGTGGCGGGATTTCTGGGCATGCCACTGCCAGGAGCCTCCAGTGGTTTCCTGATCGCCCCCTCCTCCGCCCCACCGCCGGCTGTGCTGCAGCCAGCGAAACCCCCGCCCGACCCCAATGACGCCCCGCCATGATGGTGGGACTTCGGCTGGCTGAGGATGAGCAGGGCCAACCGGGAGACGTTTCTGTAGGCTGCACTGGGAACAGGACGAAAGCTGACTGTGTTCATAGCTTGTATTCGGGGTGGGGCGGGGCGTGTGAGGAGGAGGGTCAAAGGATGCGGCACCTAGGCTATTAACGACACAAAATACACAAAAACACACAAAGAAGATATTAGATGCATAGTATTAAGTAGTCAATTTGTTAAGTTCCAACCGAACGAATGGATGAAACTCATTTTAAGCCCAAATTAGTCAAGTCCCCGAACTCTTGTTATATCTTCGATTTAAGGGGTATTTTGTTTCACAATCTAAAAACTTCAGTTATTTCAAATTTGGCTTGATGTTAACCAGAGACCGAGAGCATTGACGAGAGTATTAATGTATGTATAACATAATTTATTTCATTAGATTACATTCTTAACCCTAATCGTAAATATTAGCATAACTCTATATAGATACATATATTTATGTACGTGTGTATTGTGTTCGATGATGCCAAGCATTCATCGCTGTAGACATTGAAAATGAAACCAAGCCATAAACACTTAAATTAAAATATTTCCGAGTAGATGGAATGCAGTTCTTTGATATTAGAGCGAACAGATGCGAGATTAGTCCCCCAAGCCGATTCCCTGTTCGCTGGTGGCGTCGTCATTGGCCATCATCACTCCGTAGGAGGGATTCTCGATCAGATGTGTCCGCTGCTTGTCGCCCCCTCGTCTGCGTCGCTGCATTTCCCTGATCACCAGCAGAGGAGCCATCACTAGCGCCAAGCACAGCAAGATGGCCAGCACAAACATGGTCCAGTGGAAGGCCAGATGTGTGCCGGACTCGGATAAGCTAGATGCCAATCCAAGACTTGAGTCCATGTCGGCATTCTCTCCTTCACAAGTTTCGGGACCGGTGCACACCCTGCCCGATCCACATGGCTTGGAGCAAATCGGTTCGCACTCACTGCTGCTTCCACTCAACATTCGGTAGCCGGGCAGGCAAACACATTTTTCCGGGGCCAAGCACTCGGCGTTGATACACTGCTCCCGGCACTGGGGGCGGCAAGAGTGGGGCTCACTGGCATTGGTCACCGAATGGCCCGGATCGCAGCTGCATTGACCTGGGGCTGTGCAGCGCCCGTTCTCGCATCTGGGCCGACAGGCAGGCACACATTGATACTTCACCTTGGTGTCCTCGTACCCGGGCAGACAGGCGCATGTATCGGGCTCGACGCAGGTTGAGTTCTGGCAGGCAGGCGAACATACGGGATCGCAGATGGAACTGGAGTTCTGCCGCAGTTGGAAGCCCTCGTAGCAGCGGCATTTCCCCGCGCCTTCGCAGTGGCTGTTCACGCACTTCTGCTGGCAGTGGGGCTCGCAGGTGCCCATGGGCCATCGCTTGGCGTATCCCGGGTCGCACTGGCATATCTCCGGGGCAATGCAGCGACCGTGTCCGCAGTCCTGGCTGCAGATCGGTTCGCAGATTCTCGACCCCATCGTTGGACTCGGTCGGTAGCCGGTGAAGCAACGACACTCGTTTGGCGCCACACAGCTCCCGTGTAGGCAGGATCTCGCGCATATGGGAATGCAGTAAAAACTGAGCAGAGCCTTTAAACGGATATCAGGAAAAATATTATATAGAACATAATTAATATAATGAAGTTCATCTTACCTGGTATCCCTCCCAGCAGCTGCATATGCCTGGACTGCTGCACACTCCGTTCCTGCAGTTCCGGGGACAGAGGGGCTCACATTCAGTGATGCTGCCATTAACGAAGGTGTAGCCCGCCTCACAGGCGCAGACGTCCGGAGCGGAGCAGTGGGCATTGCGTCCGCAAGTCGTGGTGCAGACGGGGGTACAGCGGTGTGGGGACGTTTTTTCGTAGCCAGCAAAGCACTCGCACTGTCCGGGACCCTTGCAGATGCCATTTTCGCAGTTTTTCGGACAGCTTGGCTGACACACGGTCTCTGAAGTATCGGCGAAGACATGGCCTTCGTTGCAAATGCAACGTCCAGGTGAGATGCAGGTGCCGTTAACGCAGGGCGGCTTGCACTGCGGCTGGCAGTTTGAGGAAACATTCTTCGGGTCGATGTGGACAAAGCCAGGCTTACAGTAGCACACCTCGGGGGAAACGCAAACACCGTTGGCACACCCATTCGAGCAGACGGGATCGCACTTCCAGGGCTGTAGGAAGAGAGGCTCATAGCCCCTGTGGCACCGGCATTCGTTGGGCGCCACACAATCGCCATGCCAGCATGGGTTTTGGCACACGGGGACGCACTTCTTTAGCTGAACGTCCCACTGATAGCCCACCAGGCACTGGCACTCTCCGCTCTCCAGGCAACGTCCGTGGGTGCAGTCGCCGGGGCAGGCGGGCTCACACACCGACAGGGATCCATTTACGAACCGGTGGCCCACATCGCACTGACACTCATCCGGAGCCACACAGCTACCGTTTTCGCAAGACTCGCTGCATTCCGGCTCGCAAACACCCCGATCCTTTCGATTCGAATAGCCCTTCCCGCAAAGACACACATCTGGCGACAGGCACTTTCCATTCGTTCCACAGCTCTTGCACTGAGGGATGCACTCCCTGAATTAGGTATAAAGTCTTTAATTCTCAACATAAGAAGAGCCTCCATGATACTTACTCATCCTCATCACGTACGTAGCCTTCACAGCACACTTCTTCGTAGGACAAGTAAGTCTGAGGGAGAGAAAATTATCAATAAATGAGAGACTCACAAAGTCTTTCAAAATCGTGAAAAGGTATTTCTTTGCTATTTTATCGGTCCATCCGACTTCTTCTACCAGAAATATTCTTTAAATTACACCTAGTTTATAATTTCTCGCAAAATATACTTCATATTCGGGAAAGTGTAGCTTAAAGATGCCTTATCCCTCATTGGATGCTTGGCTTTAGCTTGAACCTGGTCCGACAAAAAAAAAGTCCTTCAAGTAGACATTGCCACCATAGGAGATCCATGCGAAAAAATCACACATTACCTCCGTTCTAGTTCTGCCCACCAAGGATCCACAATTACCAGTGCAGTTTCCATGATTTTGAGGTTTACGCATCGTAACCACAGTTCCGCGCATTTTCACCACCCTGTAAGTCCATTAACATGTCATTTATTGAAATCTTGACCTGACTAGATGTCATTTCAACTCACGGCACGCGATCGACACAAGCCTGAGCCCGCAGGCCACAACCGGCCACTAATAGGACCACAAGGACCAACATGCTTAGTCAGAAGTGTTTTTAATGCAACTGCTCCCTGAAAGTTACTCTTTGCTAATGATCATACCATTGACTTTCAATCGTATTTCGAGGGATCGTAAATCGGACTTCAGGGCTTATCATTTGAGCGCTGTATTTTTCCTCCTATATCGCTATTTATATGGCACAGATACCCATGTGCTATATGTGTTTAATGAACCCAAAGTCTCAGAGAACAATAGCTCCTCAGATTGAAATACGAGTCCAAGTGCAGTTCATCCAAACTGAGATCTCGAATATAGAATTTACGAAATGTATACTATATATTTCTGTATATGACTTGTACGATTGTCTTATCGTGCGAATTTTACGGGCAAACGTAATTAATGATTTTGTTTCAGAAACATGTAATAGCAAAGCAAATATTAATTGATTTAAAAATAAAATCCAATTTTTTTAATGAAATCTTATATAGCGATTAACCTTTAATTTCATTGCTTAAAAGAAAGCGAGAGATTTTCATTGTCCCGACTTTACACAAGTTATTACTTAGTTTACTGAATAAAATTGTGCTGTTAAGAGGAAACTTATTAATTTATATGAAATAAAAATAGAAAATCAAGTTAATATGATTCAACATTTCGCAATAACTTTTGTAGAACTCGATAAGCTCTGTTCCCCAGTGAGAAACAAGAGATATCAATTGAAACTAGAACACAAAGAAAACATTTCTTGCGGAGATCAAGGTCAATTGGGTGCTTTTTTCTTTTATTGCGGAAAACTGTTTTAAAAACGAACCATTATTTCATAACTGCTTAGAACATAATATTTAAAAGGGCATTGCTTCAAAAAGTAGTGCCAGTATAGAGAATATAAGATAATAATGTCAATAGAGATACATAAGAGCTTTTAATTTCGCCACTTGAAGATAAGTCTTATGAGAATATATTCCCTCTTATGAGAATAAATGGGTTCACACAAAGTACTTGAGTAGGTTGCAGATCAGTTTCCAGTTTGAAAGCTCAGTTTACTTTGGATTGTTGAAGAGCATTGTTCATAAAACTGCAAAATATAGTTGAAACGCCTAATAGTACTATGAAGATATTTGCACAGTTTACCCAATTTTGGGTATTCGTAGCTCTGTTAGAACTTTATCATCTTTCTGGCGTTCAATCCTATGGATCTCATTTTTGTACTCGGTCTGAAATGGTAACATATACACATCCGGTTTACAAGTCCAAAATGGTTCCATACCAAGAGCATAACTTTTGGCGAGGATGGCAAACCAAATATCGTCGCGAATATGGCTGGCAAGATGAGGTATTTCAAACTATTTATGAAACATTTAAAGAAATATAATGAAAAAAAAAATTGGTTCAACCCTGAAATTAAAAAAACTTATTTTATTCATTATTATTGTAAAAGAAATATGTGAAAATCAAATTTTTTTTTTTTTATGACATTATAGTGAAATGGCTTTTTTCTTTGTTTAAAGAAATTTTTTATTTTATTTCAAATTTTATTAGATCTTATGTGTTCTTAAAAGAGTTAAAGGTGCAAATATCAATCCATTGCAATTCCTTTTTAATTTATGGAAATACTGAAACCCAACTACAAAAGCTGCAGTTGCTTAAAAATATAATTATAATTATACCCGTCAAAAGTGTGCAACGCAGTGAAGGAGACATCTCCGACCCTAAAGTATATATATTCTTGAAAAGGACCACCTCCTAAGTTGATATAAGCACTTCCTCATACTGACGCAACAGCTATTGTACAACTCGATAAGCTCTTCCCCAGTGGTCAAGTTCAACAGAGTGTTTTTCTCTATTAGTGCGGAAAACGGTTCTAAAAACTTACCATAATTTCATAACAACTTAGAAGATAATATTAAAAGTGGCATTGCTTCAAAAAGTTGTGTCAATACAGCATGCCAGGATATAAAGTCAAAAGAGATAAATAGGAGCTTTTAATTTCGCCACTGGAAGATAAGTCTTATGAGAATATAGTCTCTTAAGAGAATAAACGGCTTTATCCAAAGTACTTAAGTAGGTTGCAGATCAGTTTCCAGTTTAAAAGCTCAGTTTACTTTGGATTGTTGAAGAGAATTGTTCATAAAACTGCAAAATATAATTGAAACACTTAATACTATGAAGATATTTGCACAGTTTACCCAATTTTGGGTATTCGTAGCCCTGTTAGAACTTTATCATCTTTCTGGTGTAGAATCCTATGGAGATCATGTTTGTATTCGCCCGGAAATGGTGACATATAAACATCAGGTTTACAAGTCCAAAATAGTTCCGTACCAAAAGCATTCCTTTTGGCGAGGATGGCAAACCCAATATCGTCATGAATATGGCTGGGAAAATGAGGTATTTCATACTAAAAACCTTAAAAAACTATTTTTGTTTCATTTTTTTTAAAAGGTATTCATATGTACAAATGTGATTATGAAATTTTTTTTTGTGATAAAGTGAAGAGTTGGCTTTTTCTCATATTTTAAACAAATTTTACCCTCATCTACCATAAATTGAAAGAATTGATTAAAATGTGTGTTTTAAAAGAATTATACAAATAAAGTAGCATTATTAGTAACATTCCAATTCATTTTTCATTTTTTGAAAATGGAAATACTGAATCCGAAACACTAAAAACCTATAAAGTTTCCAATAAAGTATATAGAAAGTATTATAGAAATTTAAATTTTTGGTAATTTTTATTAAGGTTTTTTTTAATTCGAAAAATCATATAAATTGTCAGCAAAAAACGTTAAAATCAAATCCATTTACTTTAATTTGTTTTTGTAAATTAAACAAATCCATTTGCCATTTCAATAGGAATTTCAATTCACATTTTGGTTTCGAGTCGCGTAACTTCTTATCTGAACATTCGAGCTTTAACAAGCAAAGTATGTTATATATATATTTAAGCGGAAATGACTAATGCTTTTACTTTTTAGGTTCGTTACAAAATGGAAAACAGACAATTTTGTTGCTCAGGATACGAGGTCCGAAATTCCCTTCTCGTATCCGTCTGCGTGCCAGTGTGTCGGGAAGGGTGTGGAGCTCACAGTTTCTGTGCTGAGCCTGGAAAATGTGACTGTATTGTAGGCTACACGAAACTGGAAGGCAGTACAACCACCTGCGAACCTGTGTGCGATCCTCCATGTGGATCAAAGTCCCACTGCCAAGAGCCGGACGTTTGTGTCTGTGAGGCGGGTTATCAGTCGGTTTCTGCTGGAGAACCCTGCTCACCCGTTTGCCGGGAGGGCTGCGGAAGCCATAGTACGTGCATCAGCCCGGACGTGTGCCAATGCGATGAGGGATACTCTTTGGAGGGCAACGAGTGCCAGCCCATTTGCTCAAAGGGCTGTCCGACCCACGGAAAATGCATGCTCCCAGATGTGTGCACTTGCGATCCTGGCTACCTCATGAAGGGCGATCACTGCGAGCCGCGCTGCAGTCCCGAGTGCTCCGACTATGCCCACTGCGTATCTCCGGATTTGTGCGAGTGCTATCCGGGCTACGAAAAAACTGTTAATGGCAGCCAGTGTGTCCCCAAGTGTAGCAAGGGCTGTCCAAATGGCTTCTGCTTTTCACCGGAAGTGTGCGTCTGTAATATCGGCCACCTGATGGGACCAGACCAAACGTGTGAGCCCCAATGCAGCTTAAAGTGCGCCCACGGTCGTTGCACCCAGCCGGAGACCTGCACTTGCGATCCGGGCTATAGGTTTGGGAATGGATCGCAGCATGTGTGCGAGCCCGTTTGCGAGAACGGCTGCCTGAACGGAGACTGTGTGGCGCCGGATGTGTGCATTTGCCACGTGGGCTTCCAGCCATCGGGTAACCACTCTGTCACTTCTGTGTGCCTCCCGGTGTGTGAAACTGAGTGCGTCAATGGAAGCTGTTCTGCTCCAGGCCAGTGTAGCTGCCTAGAGGGATACATTAAGATCTCAGGCTCGGAGTCTAGTTGTACGCCGAATTGTGGTGGTAAATGCGAGTTCGGACAGTGCTTGGCCCCCGAAAGGTGTCAGTGCTGGGAAGGTTATGAAATGACTAAGGATGGTTGCCAAAAACCAAAGGAGACCACAACGGAGCAAAATAATCCCAGTTCCACATCCGTCACATCTGCAGACTTTCTGCATCTTCAAGATTTGAGTTGTGGTGCTAATTGTTCGTGTTGGACAGAATTTGACGAAGAGGGCATCTTGAGCACTTCCAATTGCGCTAGGATCTGTCACGATGAAATGGACAAGTCTTGCCGGAATCTGAGCGACTGTCACTGCGACCCGAACGGTGGCCACTTAATATGCAATAATAGCGGCGACGAAGACTACAGCTCCGAGGAAACCCGGTATGTCTGCAAGGTACCCAAGGTCGTGCCACAGGGAGCTGAAGCCACAACCGCAACGAAGCCAACCCAGAAGGCTGCTACCTGGGTAATGGTGATAGCTTGGTGTTCTGGCATCATAGTTCTTGTGGCTGGGGCAGTTGCTATCTACATATTCTATCGCCGCATGCCATCGAGATATGGGGCAGTTGGTCACTACTCATTCCGTCGACGCACTGGCCAGACGCCTATGGACCCAATAGAGGAAAGAATATATGAAAACGCTCAATAGAAACTTAAATTATTTTATAATGAAATTATTCAAAATTTAATATACGCAGCATTATACTTAAAAATGTTCAGACGAATATGTATAAAATTTGTTGTTATCTTTTTTTTACAAATACATTCAAACAGCTCCAAGAAATTGGCAAAGCTAAGCCTAAAGTTTTTAAAAATTTTGATTAACATGTATTAATGTACATTTATGGAAGTCAATTTTTTTTTAAGTATATATACGATTACAAATGTTTCAAATTATTTTAGGCTTCAGTTGTGTTTTTCCGGTTGAGGCCGGGCAGATACATTTCTGGGCACGTGTGTTATGGTTTTGGGTATCGCCGCTTTAGGGTAGTTGATAGCGAAACATTTTCGCAAATTACATTTATGGTATTATATGGAATATACATATGTAGAAGCCTACATACCAAACATAAAGAGAAAACCAAGAGTGTAGTTTGCGTAAGAACTTAAAAATGGTATTCCACGAACTATGGCCTATCAGCTACCACGAATGTTTCGCGATAACAAATTTATAAAAAACAAAAATTTACAACAAAAATTTCACTTGTACGAAGCATTTTATATGTCCGATATATGCGAATAGTTAGTTTTATTCTTGTTCTCGACTGAGAAGGTCAGCGAAGATCTTCATTCGGGAAGTTTAACCATGATCCAACTTAAAACTTTCGTTTTGATTTTGTGTCTGTCTACCGGTTTGAATTTTGTTAATACATCTAATGAAAAATCAAAGACATCTTGTGGTCCAGTGTGCCAACAGCTTTTAGTTGAAATAAATCTAATTCCACACAAAGGTGCTGAAAGTTCTACCGAAGAAAATGTTAGTACCACTGAAGGGCAGACTTCGAGTCTGGAAACAACTACACATTCTATACTCGATGGAAATAATGGTGGATCTAAAAATGCTAGCGAAAATAGAGTTGGAGCCTCATCAATGGAACATTCTTTATCGACTTCCACCACTGAAGGGCAGACTTCGAGTCTGGAAACAACTACACATTCCATACTCGATGGAAATAATGGTGAATCTGAAAGTTCTACCGAAGAAAATGTTACAACCTCATCAACGGAATATTCTTTCTCGACTTCCACCACTGAAGGGCAGACTTCGAGTCTGGAAACAACTACACATTCCATACTCGATGGAAATAATGGTGAATCTGAAAGTTCTACCGAAGAAAATGTTACAACCTCATCAACGGAACATTCTTTCTCGACTTCCACCACTGAAGGGCAGACTTCGAGTCCAGAAACAACTACACATTCCATACTCGATGGAAATAATGGTGAATCTGAAAGTTCTACCGAAGAAAATGTTACAACCTCATCAACGGAACATTCTTTCTCGACTTCCACCACTGAAGGGCAGACTTCGAGTCCAGAAACAACTACACAATCCATACTCGATGGAAATAATGGTGAATCTGAAAGTTCTACCGAAGAAAATGTTACAACCTCATCAACGGAACATTCTTTCTCGACTTCCACCACTGAAGGGCAGACTTCGAGTCCAGAAACAACTACACATTCCATACTCGATGGAAATAATGGTGAATCTGAAAGTTCTACCGAAGAAAATGTTACAACCTCATCAACGGAACATTCTTTCTCGACTTCCACCACTGAAGGGCAGACTTCGAGTCCAGAAACAACTACACATTCCATACTCGATGGAAATAATGGTGAATCTGAAAGTTCTACCGAAGAAAATGTTACAACCTCATCAACGGAACATTCTTTCTCGACTTCCACCACTGAAGGGCAGACTTCGAGTCCAGAAACAACTACACAATCCATACTCGATGGAAATAATGGTGAATCTGAAAATTCTGCCGAAGAAAAAGTTACAAACTCATCAACGGAACATTCTTTCTCGACTTCCACCACTGAAGGGCAGACTTCGAGTCTGGAAACAACTACACATTCTATACTCGATGGAAATAATGGTGGATCTAAAAATGCTAGCGAAAATAGAGTTGGAGCCTCATCAATGGAACATTCTTTATCGACTTCCACCACTGAAGGGCAGACTTCGAGTCTGGAAACAACTACACATTCCATACTCGATGGAAATAATGGTGAATCTGAAAGTTCTACCGAAGAAAATGTTACAACCTCATCAACGGAACATTCTTTCTCGACTTCCACCACTGAAGGGCAGACTTCGAGTCCAGAAACAACTACACAATCCATACTCGATGGAAATAATGGTGAATCTGAAAATTCTGCCGAAGAAAAAGTTACGAACTCATCAACGGAACATTCTTTCTCGACTTCCACCACTGAAGGGCAGACTTCGAGTCTGGAAACAACTACACATTCTATACTCGATGGAAATAATGGTGGATCTAAAAATGCTAGCGAAAATAGAGTTGGAGCCTCATCAATGGAACATTCTTTATCGACTTCCACCATGAAGGGAGACTTCGAGTCTGGAAAACTACACATTCCATACTCGATGGAAATAATGGTGAATCTGAAAGTTCTACCGAAGAAAATGTTACAACCTCATCAACGGAACATTCTTTCTCGACTTCCACCACTGAAGGGCAGACTTCGAGTCCAGAAACAACTACACAATCCATACTCGATGGAAATAATGGTGAATCTGAAAGTTCTACCGAAGAAAATGTTACAACCTCATCAACGGAACATTCTTTCTCGACTTCCACCACTGAAGGGCAGACTTCGAGTCCAGAAACAACTACACAATCCATACTCGATGGAAATAATGGTGGATCTAAAAATGCTAGCGAAAAAAGAATTGGAGCCTCATCAATGGAACATTCTTTATCGACTCCCACATCTGCAGGGCAGAATTCGAATCTGACTTTTAATAATCCCTCACAACACGATCAAAACTTAGAGACTTCGGGTCCAGAAACAACTAAACATTCCATACTCGATGGAAATAATGGTGGATCTAAAAATGCTAGCGAAAAAAGAATTGGAGCCTCATCAATGGAACATTCTTTATCGACTCCCACATCTGCAGGACAGAATTCGAATCTGACTTTCAATAATCCCTCACAACACGATCAAAACTTAGAGACTTCGGGTCCAGAAACAACTAAACATTCCATACTCGATGGAAATAATGGTGGATCTAAAAATGCTAGCGAAAAAAGAATTGGAGCCTCATCAATGGAACATTCTTTATCGACTCCCACATCTGCAGGGCAGGATTTGAATCTGACTTTCAATAATCCCTCACAACACGATCAAAACTTAGAGACTTCGAGTCCAGAAACAACTAAACATTCCATACTCGATGGAAATAATGGTGGATCTAAAAATTCTACCGTACATTATGGTGAAAAATCATCCCCAAAGAATAATTCCACATCAGAAAAGCAGAGTTCCAGTACCGAAGCAAACACAAAATCAAACCTGAATCCGGAATCAAATTCAAGTTCCTTTAACCCAATTTTGGGAGGATTCTCCAAATTTACTGACATGTACGTCTTTTTTGGCGCAGTTGGTCTCGCTTCATCTATAGCTTTGTGTTTGAAACTATATACTCATTATAAGGCAAAACATGTGTATCTTGTGACGAAAAGAATTTAAGAACAGGTTTGATTTGTTTTTTTACACTAGAATATTTCGGTCTATTGTATTTCCCATGCTGGCACTTTTGGAAACATCTCCCTTGTGGCTGCCTGTCCGTATCGAATATGCTATACATCCATGTACCTAAACGATTGAAAATATAACTAAATTTATAGTTGCTGTATACTTGTTTATATCTTTTAAAATTATAAAGTATCCTTAAAACTGAATCTGTCTCTACTACTATAAGCTTATGCTTTAACTTATGTATGTTATTCATTAAAAATAAAACATTATTATTTCTCAAGTTTGTTGCGTCTGGTTGGGGTAACATTTTCAGCATTTTTTCCGTAGCTAAGTGAAGGTGGTGGTTCACTAGCTAGTTTAATTCTCAACTTCTCTCCAAGCCAGTACACTTTAAAAAAGGCAATATTCGAAAATGTATTCGAAACTTGCGAGCACCTACAGCGACTACAGCGACTGTGGTCAGAGAAGGGGCAGAGAAGATCCGCCTAGTTTGTTGCTCGACTAATTGGCTTTAAAGACTGACAACTACAACTGAAATTGAAACCAAATTGGATATGACCAGAGTGGATTAAGATATAGGCCTAATTTTTTTTTAATAATCATTGCTTCAGTAGTAACTAATTATATTTGATAAACAAAGTAATCGCTTAAGGATCGCTGATGAAAATAATTTAAGAATTTTATTTTCTAGTCATTATGTGCAAATAAATTAATTTTCATTGTTTTTTTTAATATTTTCAGGCCGAGGACTCTGTATTATAATATATACTAACCTGAGTCACTCCGGATGCTTACCATCACAAACATTATAACCGATAAATTTAAAGATCTCTTCCTAATGACACCTTGGCGTTTCCTGATTTTTCGCATCATTCCGCATTAAAATCATGAAACAAAATGTTTTTTCGATTTTTTGTCCATTTTTTGTGATGGGATCTCCTGAAAATGGGGTTTTCTCCCAGAGGGCCCACAGGGAATGCTATATCTTCCCAAATTCTCATCCGATTCTCAAGCGGAGTACCTTAAACGATTTCTGGATCGATTCGCCACCATTCTGCATCAAAATCCTGGAACAAAATATTTTTTCCATTTTTTGTCCATCTTTTGTGATAGGATCCCCTGAAAATGGGGTTTTCCCCTATAGGGCCATCAGGGATGGCTATATCTTCCCCAATCCTCATCCGATTCTCAAGCGGAGTACCTTAAACGATTTCTGGATCGATTCGCCACCATTATGCATCAAAATCCTGGAACAAAATATTTTTTCGATTTTTTGTCCATTTTTTGTGATAGGATCCCCTGAAAATGGGATTTCCCCTATAGGGCCCTCAGGGATGGCTACATCTTCCCCAATTCTCATCCGATTCTCAAGCGGAGTACCTTAAACGATTTCTGGATCGATTCGCCACGGTTCTGCATCAAAATCCTGGAACAAAATATTTTTTCGATTTTATGTCCATTTTTCGTGATAGGATCCCCTGAAAATGGGGTTTTCCCCTATAGGGGACTCAGGGATGGCTACATCTTCCACAATTCTCATCCGATTCTCAAGCGGAGTACCTTAAACGATTTCGGGATCGATTCGCCACGGTTCTGCATCAAAATCCTGGAACAAAATATTTTTTCGATTTTTTGTCCATTTTTTGTGATAGGATCCCCTGAAAATGGGGTTTTCCCCTATAGGGCCCTCAGGGATGGCTATATCTTCCCCAATCCTCATCCGATTCTCAAGCGGAGTACCTTAAACGATTTCTGGATCGATTCGCCACCATTTTGCATCAAAATCCTGGAACAAAATATTTTTTCGATTTTTTATCCATCTTTTGTGATAGGATCCCCTGAAAATGGGGTTTTCCCCTATAGGGCCCTCAGGGATGGCTACATCTTCCCCAATTCTTATCCGATTCTCAAGCGGAGTACCTTAAACGATTTCTGGATCGATTCGCCACCATTGGGCATCCTGGGACAAAATATTTTTTCGGTTTTATGTAAATTTTTTCGTGATCCCTCCGAAAATGAGGTTTGGGGGGTATTTTTTTGGGCTTTTTATTAGAAAAAGAGTTTATTAAACAATGTTTCTATTTGATGGCCAACAATTATCAAAAAAAAACAGGCGCCGCTTTTTTTTTTTGCAAAAAGTGGAAGTTCTGGATAGTTTTCTGTCGACTATTGTTTTGAGTCATGTAAAAACTAGCAAAAAACAAGAAAGGAAAGCTAACTTCGGGCGGAGCCGAAGCTTATATACCCTTGCAGTTAAAACCGGATATATATCGCAAACATCGGATATAGTTGGCCGATCCTTATGGGAATATGAATAAATAATCCAATTTATTACAATACAAAATCTAAAAAAAGTCCCAAACTTCTATCTTCAAGAATACCAAAGTTGGTATTTCTACCAAAAACCATTTCCGATAGTTCAGTTATATGGCAGCTATAAGATATAGTCGGCCGATCGTTATGAAATTTGGTAAGTCGGATTAAATGACCAAGAATATAATCTGTACCAAGTTCCAGCTTTAAATCTTCAAAAACACGAAAGTTGGGTCATTTCCGATTGTTCAGTTATATGACAACTATAGGATATAGTCGGCCGATCCTTACGAAATTTGGCATGTCGTATTATTTTGCCAAAAATAGCGCTCGTGTAAAATTTGAACTCTCTAACTCTAAAAACACCGAAGTTATACCATTTCCGATCAATCAGTTATATGGCAGCTATAGGATATAGTCGGCCGATCCGGGCCGTTCCGACTTATATACTGCGTGCAAAGGAAAGAAGGGTGTGTGCAAAGTTTCAAGTCGATAGCTTTAAAACTGAGAGACTAGTTCGCGTAGAAACAGACAGACAGACAGACAGACAGACGGACATGCTCATATCAACTCAGGAGGTAATCCTGAACAAGAATATATATACTTTATAGGGTCGGAGATGTCTCCTTCACTGCGTTGCACACTTTTGGACAAAATTATAACACGCTCTGCAAGGGTATAATAATATTACATAATTTTAATACATGGCTTGTAACAAACTGCTTTATACGTTGTCTTACGAATCATACTCGCACTACGTTTTTTTGTACACTGCTTTATTCATCACGTAACAGTAGATGGCGCTGGCCTGCAACATGAAAGTTACATAAACTGCTTTATGAATGGTACGTGTAAAAAAAATATTTTGATAAGTAAAAATCTAACCAATCAAATATTTTTATAAAAAAAGGATATTTAGAATATTATTCTACTCAAAACTGTGAGGGTTCTTTTCTAAAAGGAAGACAATTTTGTTCAAATATGTATAATGTTTCTTTGAAGTTTATTTAACTTATTTATTTCATTCAACAAATTCCATTTCAATAAAATCATTTGTCTTTTGATAAAAATATCTGAAACCTTGCACGATTTATTCCGTAAGCAAACCAGTACATTTGAAACATGTAGTCTCCCTCCGGAAACGGAAGTATTGTTGTGAGACGATGACTAATCTGTTCTGTTGTTAACTTTTCCAAAACCAAATCGTGCTGAAAAAAACAATATACTTCAAATTTGAAGTTTTTAAAAGCGATTACATACATCGTAGGGACACGAGTGATTCATGTTGGATACCTCAATTATAAACTCGTAAAAATAAAGTGCCACAGGATTACCCTTTGGATTTTGTTGAAACTTACAAGCGTCTAGGGTCATATTGTAGAGGAAGGGCTTGTAGCCATTAAATCGTTTGTAGAGTGCGAAATTAACCTAGTAATTTGTATAAAATTATTTACTTTTAATTTTTTATAATAAAATATTTTTGTTTTACCTTGACCTTTGTGACTGGAACTTTGAACAGATTAACCTTTAAGGAAAAGTATTTGTATGTCCTGTTTATCGATTTCAAAAAACAATATTCAAAGTCTGAGAATGTCTTATCCAGTGATGTGCAGATAATATTTCTGAATTCAACCGCGGGCTTAACCTGAAATTCAGAGGGCTAGTAACTTTTGAGAATTGTAATACTTTGGCCTATATACCACTTTGGCCAAATGAAAGGCCAACAAAATATTTATGAAAAGTAACGAAGTTTTCATCGCGAAGCGTCCATGAATAAACTGACCATGTAATACTTTATAATAATTTTGTATACTCGCTTTTTATATTGTCATTTCAAAAAATTATATTCCCATTTGCCAAGTAAAATTGGCAAATTATTTAGTGATTGTTTGATAATAACTTTAAACTCAATCGATTGGTTTTTAATTACTTTTGTTTAAAATTATAAGAGTGCGACTGGTATTTGGAGTTCTCATTATTCTAATATTTACGTAGCTTTTTACAGAGAACTGAATTGCTTTTGATAGAACTTAATAATTTTATAATTTTTTCAAAAAATCTGTTTATCCTTCCTTTGTAAAATATATCTGAAACACTGCCCTATTTATATCGTAGGCGAACCAGTACATTTGAAACATGTAGTCTCCATCCGGAAAAGGAAGAATTTTTGTGAATCGATGATAAAATATTTCTGTTGATAATTTTTCCAAAACCAGATCGTGCTGAAAAAGAACATATTAATAAAACTTTGTCTTTTCTTAAAAGTAGCAACATACGTCGTAAGGACACGAATGATTCATGTTGGAGAAACTCCTGAAGAACTCATAAAAATATAGAGCCACAGGTTGGGATTTTTTATTTTTGAGAAATTTACAGGCGTCCAATGTCACATTGTAGAGGAAGGGCTTATACCCATTTAATCGCTTGTACAGTCCCAAGTTGATCTAATTAAAGAAGAATAATTTTTTAATTCTAAGTCCTTAGAATAAAATGGGTTTTTGTTACCTTAACTTTGGTGATTGGAACTTTGAAGAGATTGACTTTTAGGGAAAAGTATTTGTAAGTTCTGTTTATCGATTTCAGAAAACAATATTCAAAATCAGAAAATGTCTTATCCAGGGAAGTGCAGATTATGTTCTTAAACTCCACCTCAGGCATTACCTGTAATATATTATTATGGAAAGTTTTTGATGTATTATAGGTTTTGAATACCTACCATTTTTACCAAAAATAATGCCACTAACAAATTTAAAATTAAGAACGAAGCTTTCATCGTTAGGCATTCAGGAACAAACTGTTCATTTAATATTTCCAAAAAATGGTTGATCACGAATTTTAGAGAAGAATGTAATTACTGAAAATTATATTTTAATTCGCTAAAACGCAGCTAAAAACGCTAAATATCGGTCTTTCGATAAATGACTCCATTAAAATGATAAGAAATATAATCTTTTTATTAAGTTTTTAAATATTCGACTTGTTTTTACCATACCAGTGTTTGAAAATATAAAAACAAAATTTAAAATTCAATGAATGGTTTAATTTGCTTTTATAATTGTTTTTTTCTTTTATTTTCAATAAAATATACTATTAATTAAAACCATTTTCATATTTTTCAAACATTTCTAAAATAATGATACAATCATAAAAGCGCAAGCGTGACGAATAAGCCCCGATAAAGAAGTAAACTCACTGGTGAGAGAAAACTAGCACTCCCATCTCATAGTTTAGTTGCCATATTTATGATTATGTCCTGTCATGTCCTGTGTAGTTATTGCATGGCCATCCAGCATCCTAAATAAACAATCGATGAGCATATGACAGCAAACTAATAAAATTTGCCATCCCTCCTACCTGACAAGGGTTTCGTCAAACGCCGTGTCCTTGTTGTCCTGAATGTACTGACTATCTGTTTTGTTTTAACCCCCCTCCCATCCTATGACCATTTCCTGATTGCCCGGCCTTTGTTTCAGGAGCTGCAATTATGGGAATTTCGGCAATTTTACGGATCCCGGAACGAACCTGACCAGTGGCCAATGACCAATGGCCAGTCGGTCTAACAATATAATTTACAGCGCTTTTGTGTAGCGAGGCGTGAATTTAGTACTCAAAACTGAACCCCTGAATGAAGTAATAAATTTTTAAAGTCCCGGACCTAGTTCCAATACCGAACAAAGTCCTGCGGCGCCTGGTCCAGTTAATCGCATTTGTTGGTTTTGTAATTATTATAATTCTCAGGCTATGGAAATGATTTTGGCATTTCAATTTGTACTGGCGACCGCAGTTTTCGACCCCTTTTCCCCGTCACTTGGTCACTTTCGATTTTACAAAACTACGAATCCTTGGCCGAGGCGCAGGCGCAGCTGCTGTTTTACACTCCCTCCCTCGATTTTTGGTTCGTCCTGTTCGGCGCGTGCAGTTCGCAGCAGGACATTGTGTCCATTGAAATCCTGCCAATGTTTTCCCTCAGTTTTTCACCTTTTGAGTGGCAATTTCGCCGTCGCTAGTTGGTGCAGCAAAAAGGATTAAAGGACTTCTCGCGGTCGCCTTTGTGCTCAGCCAATTTACCGTAAAATTCAATGCGCTTTCCTCTGTCACTTTTATTTTTGGATCCTTTATTGTGGCGATATTTGGTTTCTGTATTTTTCCTAAAACTCATACATATATATTTTTTTTTTACCTTTTTCCGGAGTTTTCCCCGCTTTTTTTGCGCACATTTATCAATTGTTTTTTTTTTTTGTCGCGGTGAAAGTGACAAATTTTCGTTGTCCCATCTGAAGATTTATGTGTCGATTCTGCTTTTGAAGTGGTTCAGTGGTTGAGTGGTTCAGTGGTACCTAGCCAATTGTTTCCACCTCTCAAGGGTTGAGAGGCGTGGCCGTTAGCGATCGAAAGTCAGGAGCGAAGATTTATTCACTATGTCCCAATAGTTCAGGCAGATGATCCTCAGGGGAGTTCAACATGATGGAGAATAATTGCACACTGTTTGGAAAAAAGTGTAGGGTTAATAAATTGCAGCTTTTCCAAGAAATTTATATAACCTATTTCACTTATTTACTATAAAATATTTTCGGTAAAAAAATAGTCTTAAAGGTTAATAAATAAGCCCTGATCTTGAACCTGGTCAATGTCAGTATGTACGGACATATGCTCATGTTCAGTGTCCAGTTTCCACTGGCCATTGGCCATTTTCACAGCTTGGTGGGCAAGTGTTTTGTGTCATTTTTTGCGACACTCATGTTTTCCACCAAGCCGAGTCATTCTCGCATGAAAATTAAACAACAAAAAATGGAAAACATGTTCTTGTCTTGCCGGGAAACTCAATAAGCGTGTGCACCAACATTGTCATTCATTCATTTATTCACTCGGTCCAGCACGCACTCATTCATCCACTTACTTATTCATTCAATATATTCCAAACAAATTGCCATCGCCTGGTGGCTATTAAAGTGCACGTCGATTTTTTAATTAAAAAATATTTTCAGTCGCAGCGACAACTGCTGGGAAATTAGCCTCAAGTGTTTCGGATTGTCAAGCTGTGCGCCTGCGCAATTGAAAATCCTAAGTCCTTCGGCTTCCTGGGACTTTGTCCAGCTGTCCATAAATCATCCATCTATTCGGGATTTGTGTAATGCTGATTTTACTATTTTTTACGGCCTTTTTACAAGTGACCTCTTCGCGTTGACCTCCTACATACACACGAGGGATGGGCTGAGTTTTTTGTTATCCGGGTGGGTAATCGTCCTTAGTCAAAATTTTGTCAAAGTTTATTTATGATTTTTCGCTGTTTTTTTCGGTGGATGATTCCTGATTTTTTCTGGTACTTATGCATGCCAACTGGACAGAGTGAAGTGGCAGTCATTTTTTGCTATTATAGGAGATGTTAAACTGTATTTACATGTTTTTTAAGGGTGTGTTTAAAAATATGGTTGGATCTGTATGGATTTTAATAATTTTGATTGAAAACTAGATTTTTGACTTGAATTTCATTTCTGACTCATAAAAATCCAAGCCTTTAAGCGGTTGGGACACTCCCAAGTCTTTTGGCCTTCTCCGTTTTTTATGAATTGCGATTTTCTGCCCACCACTTCCGACCGCAATCGACTGACAATTATCGGGTATTTAATTTCGTACAACAGACAGCCAAGGATTTCCTCCGGGCTGCCTGTCCTTTGAAATTATCCTTCGCTTTTCGCATTCTCCACGGGTGACAATTGCAGACGCGGCATATAAAGTATATTTAATGTCAAAAACCGCAACTGCGAATAAAAAAAGGTGAAAATAAAGGAAACTGGCAAAGAGGGAAACAGATAAAATCAGCCGACACCGCAGGATACTCCAAAAAAAAGGAGGATTACACCACCCCAAAAAAAAAAGATAGAAACCAGAGGAGGCCTATAAAAAATAAATAAAATTAATCGTTCGCACGTGCGATGAAAACGAAATTCAAAGATTCAAATCCAAATCAATCGCTGTATACTTGAAAATTAAATCGAAGATTCCAATTCATCAACGAAGATGATTATGGCGTTCATGATGAGCTCGGTGATGGGAATACTTGACATGTCTATCAATAAAATATTGTACAATAATTGCGTCTCATGTGGCGACGAAAATAAAAGAAAGTTTTTTTATATACATATACCTTTGGCAATGAGCCATTAAATAAACATGAAATGAGCTAAACAAACAACTTGGTAATGGAAGCATATATATGTAATTATGTCATAATGGTCGATCATAATGGGCGTGCAGCTGTGAGGTTTTCGATTTCTTGTGGTAATTTATTTTGGGGGAAAAAATAAGAAAAAATATACATATTTTAATTGAAATTTAAGATATAGAAACAAAGAAGCGAAGCTACCATATTAACAACTCGGTTGACTGGCAAAAAAATTTCTTAAGTCAAGAAAATGTCAGAAATACATTTAAACATTATTTTTTGAATAAAATCCCAGTTAGATACAAAAATGAATTACATGTATAATGATAATATTTCAAAACAAAAAGCTCTGTTCTGGGTACAGTTTATGCCTTTTTTGTAAAAGGACCCGTCAATTAACGACAATTTATATGGCCACGAGTTCCTGGCACGTTCCCTCATCAGTAGTCCTTGCCCATCCCACCAGTCTACAATTTATGATACTTCCGTTTCCTTTCGAAAATAACGAGTAAAACGAAACAATTAACAATTGTTGTAGCTGCGCCTGCGCCCTGGACAACAGCAAAACAAACAACAAATCAAAGTATAGAACATGCATATATATATTTTTGTCCGTTGTATTTTTTGTTTTCCCTGATTTTGTATTTTTTTTTCTTGAATGTGATGGCGCGAAATGGAGTGCGCTTTAATTTGCATAAATTACCAGTAAAGGGTTAAAAATGGGAGGGCGTAAGGGGAGGATTACCCTGGGTTGAAGTGGTCGCCTGCACTTGAAAAAATCTGTTGCAAATGTACAGACACCACATGAGCAACTCCTCCTTTAGACCTATAGACCAGCTCCATCCGTTTATTTTTTTTGGTTTTTTGTTCTTGGATGCTGAAGTGGTTGATTGCATTTATGGACCTCTGCTACAGTTGCCCTGCAGCGATTTTTATACGATGTATGGTATGGTACAATATCCATGGACGCGAGGTGTGTCCGCTCAGCTCAGCCGTGAAAATTGTAATGTACATGGCAATTCCATTTAATATAGACAGCATCCAGATGCCAGAGAGTTACGCAAATAGCCAAGGGGCACACTCTTAAAAAGCGGGAGGAGGTGCTTTGGGTTAGCAATCATTTTAAAACCCGCATAATTGTCGGGATTTGCACACCAAACTCGAGACAGGATATAAAAAAGGGTTAAAAGTTTGGAGGAGTGGCCGGCTGGTTTTGAACTGCATGTTTTTAGTGTGGTTGGGAGCATAGAATGCTCAAATATTTTCTAAATTTCGATACCATACCTAGTGTCAAAATAGGAAAACAAAACCCTAAAATATGTTTTCTTATCAAACCCACATCTTACTTAAAATCTCTTTCTACCTCAAAATATTGTTTCAAACGTGTCAAAATAAATGAAATATTTTTATATCAAGATCGTGCCAAATCCGGACCAATTCCCTGTTGATTTTTCATCTTCGATAGGCCAGTGACCACTTCAAAATCGTATATCCC